TATCTGACGTCCAGCGCTCCGTCTTTTAACCTCTTTTCCTTTCTCTTTCTGGATCCTCCTTAGCAACCTTCATCATAGTCCTTGACAGTGGTCTGTAGCTGGATTAACAACGTGTCACATGTTAAGAAGTTACAATCAGAATCCAGTATTCAACTCAGCCGTGTAATACAAGTTGTTAGTAGCCTTAAGGGCCTACACAGTTGTTATGCTAAACCACATCGCCCTTCACTGGATGCATAATGAGCTGCACTAAACCACATTTCAGCATTTAAAATACCTAGCCATTCTTTTGCGGTTATTTTGGTGAAAGTAACTCATTACATTTCAGAGACAGTAATATTGTAATGTAACTTATTACTTTCAAAAGACAGTAATATGTAATATATTACATTTTGGAAGTAACTTGCCCAACACTGCAGGTAAGTAACTGTTCAAATAAGAAATGAATGAAATGAACATATAAGACGTCTTGGACTGTCACAGTATAAAATGCACTGTCACCATGTGTCACTGATTTCTGAGACACTTGATTTAAATGAAGCTCAGCGCAAGTTCTTTCAGGAAGACTGGGTATGTATCATTCACTCCGCAGCTGCATATTATCAGCTCATCACGGGCGTTGTCTATAACCCATTACATTCACCTCGTTCTCCAGCAGCCAATCACCGAGCTGCAGCCAAACTTTAAAATGGTTCTCCTCTCTCCTGCAGTCAGCTGTGACTTCAGGTTTCATGCTGCGGCCCTCCTCCTCCTCATCCACCTCCTCTTCATCACATCTCCTCATCACATCCAGATCTTCAGCATCATCACCAGTGTCTCGACCCCGGGGGGCTCCCTATATGCTCACGGCTGCATTTCCCCCTTTAAGGTAGGGACACACCAAGCTGACGCCAAAGAACTCACACAGACTGCTGTGTCGCCTCAGATATACCACTTCAGGATCGGGGTCTAATCGCCAAAGACTTCACATTTATCATATGACATGTGTCAAGAAATGTTCTTTAAACAAAATGAAGTCTCTCCTGATTGAACTGTAAATGAGCAACACATCATTATGTGTTTCTTTACCAGGTCAAATGTCTGCGTTGAAAAAGGACTTCATCTCTCCTGCTCCATGTTTAAGGGGGCCTCTGTTCCTCAAGCTTCTGCACTTAACGTTGCTTTTTAAAAACTGACACGTTATTGACATGTATATTCACATTAAGTGTGTAACTTGGGTTTTTCCTTTTGCACTTAAAAGCACCAAGTCTTTAAATCAACTTACAAAAGTGTATTTAGTCAGCATTCAACAGCGTTAGCTCCCAGGATGTGTTGCAGGTGGAGCAGGGGCTAGTTCCACTCATTCCTGTGGATCCATACAATCTTTGATCTCGGTACTTATTTTAATGTTCATTCATATTCCCAGAAATGTCTTCGGCTTTTGGGAAAGACAGTTCAAAAGATAACTGATGAACAACAACCTAAAGTAAAATAATCATAGCTGGAGAACCAAATCCTGGAGATCAAGTCGTTGTTGGATTTTTCATATGTTGTGTCAATGTGATTTGAATGAAGATGTCCTTACCCGTAACAGTCATTATTTATTCAACTTAGAACATGGAAAGAATCCCCAGGAGCATTTGTATCTTATTAGGAAGACTGCTGAAGAGAGTGTGTTGAGATACAAATGTTAATGAGACATTGTTTGACATGGTTCAGATTTGGGTAACAATTAAAGCAGGACTTTAACATCTGAACACTTTGGCCCTCTTATCGGAGATATTCGTTTGTCAGACTTGTTTTAAAGAGCGAGTTATCAGTGCGACTGATTTAGTCAGCATGTAGAGTCACCTCCGAGTGTACGTCTGTTTCACTGAGTAGCTCTGAGCTCTTATTGAAATGATTTGGGATAAGGTGTAGGAACGTATGTCATGTGTTGTCGTCAAATGTGTTATGTTTTTGTATTTTGTCATGTCCTGTTTTATTTTGTACTTCCCTCTTGTCTTTCATTTCAGGCCCTGTTTCTTCCTCCCCCTTTGTGTGTTTTCCCGCCTTCATCAGCGTCTGCCCCGCCCCTGATTGTTTCCACCTGTTCCCACTCACCTCATGTTGAAATAGTCCTGCCTCTCCCCTGTCCTGTGTCACTTCGTCTTGTTTGTTTCCCCGAATGGTCGTGCCAAGCCTCGGCTCTGAAAGGATCGCTTTCTCTCATGTTTTGTTTTGTTTATTTTTGTTGGCTTCAGTTTTTATTAAGTCCTCTTTTTGTTACGCTAGTTTTTCCTCCTTGTGAGCGCCTTTTGTTATTTCCACCACCTGCTCTGTTCAGAGGGATTACCTGACCTGTGGGAATAAATATACTTTTTTATATTCAAGACTTTGTCAAATCTGTGAAAGGGGAGGAACAACGTCTGAGCTGTAGACTTTGAGCAGGAGGAGCCTCGCATGCAGTAAATAAGTCGACTGTGTGACTCGCCTTCATTCCAGGAAAAGGAGTGGTTTAAGAGTTGCAATCTGTCGTTAACCCCTTAGTTAGTCTGCCTGTCAGATAACTAAAGAAAACTGTGGATCTTAAAAGGTTAAACAAGATCTTTACACGTCTTGAAATCTGTCAACCATATCTACAAGGCACATCAATGTCTGTACCACATAAAATAACGATATTTTCATGAAACAGCAAATATTTAGAGAATACAAAATAAGGCACACAGGAATCAATTCTAGCAGATAATCAATACACGTCATGTGACGTTATGCAGTAACTTTTCTAACAATATCTAATAAGATAGTTTGAAGTAATATGTTACCAACTGTATTTCATTGGGTGTGTCAGGGTTTGAGTTTTTGTGTGTCTAGTTTTGGGGTTATTTTGCTGTTCTGTTCTCCCTGTCGTTAGTGTCCCTGGTGTGTCTGATTGTGTTCACCTGTGGCCCTTGTGTTTCTCCTCCCAGGCCCGGCTGTTTCTCGTCTCGTGATTACCCCTCCCTGTATTTAGTCTAGTGTCTTCCTGTGTTCAGTATTGGTTCATTATTTGTCATTCATGTCCCCCTTCATGTTGGTCACGGTCACCTTTGTTTGGATGCTACCTCGTACCTGTTCTTGGATTCTTGTTTTTGTTCAGCTTTTGTTAAATAAAGCTCGCCTTTTGTTTCCTTTTGAAACCGGCTTCCTCCTCAATCTGCATTTGGGTCCTATTTTTCCCCAACCATGACAGGTTGCTTCTGATTTCCATTCTCCCTCCATCTGTATTAAGACGTTACAATCATATGTAATTTTATTTGTTATGATGATACATTCCGTTTTTGGTATCGGTATGAAGGATTTTAGTTGAGTTTATGGCTGACATGACGCCTGTTTTACATTCTTGTGTTTGAGGTTTTTTTAAAGCCTTTGTGTTGGATTGGTTGTGTTTGTTTGTATTACTCATTTTGTTTTCAAGGTTTTTTGATGCATATGATGAGGGGAGGCTGAAGGGATGCTGGCAGGATGCACTGTTTGCTGAGCTCATCCCTCTTTCACAATATATATAGACAACACTACTGCTATAACTATTACTAGGCTATTACTATTACTATTACTACTACTACTATATACTACACTACTACTACTACTACCACTACTACTTTTACTACTACTACTACTACTTTTACTACTACTACTACTACTACTACTACTACTACTACTACTACTAATAATAATAATATTAATAGTGTACATTAGATTGTAGACCACCATCTGGGAGGTGTATCTTTTTTTTAAATGACCAATTTCTATTATTTATTGCAGTGGAAAGGGCCAAGCTTCCCCTTTATAAAACTGTTTAAAATCGCTTAAAATGAACTGTAAGCAAATATGAATAGCGTCTCTGATGCACGTTCTTTTATATAAATAAATACAGACAAATACATATTAATTTCACTGTATTCATTGCTTTCATTTTGAGTTTTGAACCGGAAATCGTATTAATTGTTGTAAATAACTTGACACTAGTGTCAGGGGAGGTTATACGGGGGGAAAGGGGGGCAGCTGCCCCCCCACTGTAGAGCCTTGCCCCCCCAGCTGCCCCCCTAACTTTTGTTTCCCTAAAACTGTACTAAAACAAACCTACACTATTTCCACAAGCTTCTCAAGCAACGAAACAAGCATTACATTAGTTAAAAGTGAATCATTTTAAATATCATGTTAGGCCCGTTAAAAACGCAGCTACGGCCCTGCATTAAACTGCGGAGCGGCGTTCACACAGACCGCGGCTCACAGAGCTGCAGAAGGGAACGAGCTGTCCCAGCACCTATGGATCAGCTTCCCCTGGAGCATTTCCCCTTCCACTAGTTTTGTTTTTACTAAGGACGAGAGCTTGAAACTAAATATTAATAAAACGGTGCGGTTTGAATCGATAGCGTTTAACAGACGGGCGCTGTTTGGGGCGTTACGTTACAACATCTACGCAGACAGCGCGAGCTGGGAGATCGATCACTTTGCTAAATGATGCGGTTGTGGTGACCACCTATTAATACACTGGTTCATAATTCACAAATGGATACAGTTGGGGTTTTGTTTCCACACGGACATGTTATGTGTTATCGATATATGTTGTGTGCCCTCCTGGCTTCTCTCTCTTCTTCCCGGACTGCAACCGGATAACATGACCTTAATTACTCTCTAATAAAGTACCCTTTTGCACCTTCCTTGCACCGCCTCTGACTCCCTATCTCTCGGCACTACACGGTAGGCTACTATTAAATCCACGTAAACTACACATCACAGCAATGAGGCCAGATCAATGAAACCAGGATACATCCTTTACCATAAAAACTGGATCCAAACACAGCTGCCTGTGTGCGTTTGATAAATACTTTCTGATGTTATATGCTACTTATTAGCTACATGGCCCTAACGTGTAAAGTTATATAAGCATTTATACCAGTGCTTTTCACAAGTAGACTCTTGCAGGCCAGAGTAGAGGAGTGATTCAACAACAACACAAAGACATATCTGATCATGATTTCCTGTTTGTGTTGTTATCATGTTCTGTTGCCTATAAGCGTTTTCTTTCTTTTTTAAACAAATGGTACGGTGTCCTTGGGTGCCATAAAAGGCGCCTAAAAATAAAATATATTATTATTATTATATCTGAGAAGTGATCAGGACGAACAGAAAGAGCAAAACGAAAAGAGAGTTCACTGAAGAGACCAGGAGGGTCAGAGCAGGAGGAAGAGGAGGAGATTATGAGACCAGGAGGGTCAGAGCAGGAGGAAGAGGAGGAGATTATGAGACCAGGAGGGTCAGAGCAGGAGGAAGAGGAGGAGATGAGAGACCAGGAGGGTCAGAGCAGGAGGAAAGGAGGAGATGAAGAGACCAGGATCGTCTGAGCAGGAGGAAGAGGAGAGATGTAGAGACCAGGAGGGTCAGAGCAGGAGGAAGAGGAGGAGATGAAGAGACCAGGAGGGTCTGAGCAGGAGGAAGAGGAGGAGATGTAGAGACCAGGAGGGTCAGAGCAGGAGGAAGAGGAGGAGATGAAGAGACCAGGAGGGTCAGAGCAGGAGGAAGAGGAGGAGATGAAGAGACCAGGAGGGTCAGAGCAGGAGGAAGAGGAGGATATGAAGAGACCAGGAGGGTCAGAGCAGGAGGAAGAGGAGGAGATGAAGAGACCAGGAGGGTCAGAGCAGGAGGAAGAGGAAGAGATGAAGAGACCAGGAGGGTCAGAGCAGGAGGAAGAGGATGAGATGAAGAAACCAGGAGGGTCAGAGCAGGAGGAAGAGGAGATGAAGAGACCAGGAGGGTCAAGCAGGAGGAAGGGAGGAGATGAAGAGACCAGGAGGGTCAGAGCAGGAGGAAGAGGAGAGATGAAGAGACCAGGAGGGTCAGAGCGAGGAAGAGGAGAGATGAAGAGACCAGGAGGGTCAGAGCAGGAGGAAGAGGAGAGATGAAGAGACCAGGAGGGTCAGAGCAGGAGGAAGAGGAGGAGATGAAGAGACCAGGAGGGTCAGAGCAGGAGGAAGAGGAGGAGATAGAGACCAGGAGGGTCAGAGCAGGAGGAAGAGGAGGAGATGAAGAGACCAGGAGGGTCAGAGCAGGAGGAAGAGGAGGAGATGAAGACATTAGTGAAGAAGAAGAAATGTATGTGAGGAATAAAGATGAAGTATCAGAGAGAGGGCCAGAGGCAGGGATCAGGAGGCAGAGGAGACTCCAGCTGGACCACATGGTATGTTCTTATTCTCCTTACATATTCCATTACAGCAGCTCAATCTAGCAGCTCTTAGTATTGACACATATTGATTGAAATGTGTTGCTGCACAGGTCACCTGTAGCTCTCTGAAGAGATGGGTGATGTCATTTGTGTACTTAATTATAATGAAGTACTTACAGTATGCAGAATTCTGAGTATTCTCTGAATCGGGTGCCTTTTGGGTCTTTATATCTTTGAAAAATGACACCAAATGTTTGGTCATAACATCTGGTAGTTGACTACTTACATGTTCCCACCTCAGGCTCAACATATAAATAATTACTAGGAATTTCCTTGAAAAAATGTAACAGGGTTGAAGTTTTGACAAAAAGTAGGCATGAGCCCTTGTTTAGCTAAGATATGGCACCACATGGAAATCAAGGACATTACAACATTGTCATATTTTGCAAAACTATTGTTTATTTTGTAATAAACAATTATTTATTATGAATTCATATAACAGAATTAAAGTCATACATCAAACTTGTACATCGTTACAGATATTTAAGAATAATATAAAAGCTCAAAAGTGCATAAGTGTGTGCTGTCAAATGTAACCAGGAAGTAAAGTGAATTCAAAACAGAAGGAAACAGCCTTTCTCCAACTTGTAAAGCACATTTAGAGGTTTGACACATGCATAATCCAGATCCAGCGTTAGATGATTAGTGATTCATAAAACAAGGAGAAAGTATTGTGTCGATGTGAATTAAATGTGGTTACTACAACTCAGCCATTTCTTTTTTGTCTTGTCATTTCAATTTCAGTTTATTTGATTGATCTATGTTTCTGATCTAGGTTTGTAAATGAATACAAAATAAAACCACTGTTTTTAGCGTCCTCTAGCGAAAAGCAAGGACGTCATATATTTGCCTGCATTTTATAAACATACTTTAAACTTTAATAAACCTTATCAACCAAAGTCAATTGGAAACGAATGGTCGTGCCAAGCCTCGGCTCTGAAAGGATCGCTTTCTCTCATGTCAGGTTTTGTTATTTTTGTTGGCTTCAGTTTTTATTAAGTCCTCTTTTGTTACGCTAGTTTTTCCTCCTTGTGAGCGCCTTTTGTTATTTCCACCACCTGCTCTGTTCAGAGGGATTACCTGACCTGTGGGAATAAATATACTTTTTTTATATTCAAGACTTTGTCTCTGTCGTGCGTTTGTGTTCATCAGTTTGTGTCGAGGTCCTGACATCATGCAAAGTACTTTGTTCTTTCTGACCGACATTTGAACTGAACTGACATGTTGGATATGGACCAATGAGGACAACACAAAAGGGACACGGATGTTATGGAAGTTGGTTTACCTAAAGACTCAATAATATGCCTAATTTATACTAATCCCTGTCATTAAGCTGTAATTAAATCAGTGCACACAAATGCATACTTTGTGATTTCCTTTATTATTTTTGGAGTGATGTTCTCTTCTCACTGTCTTCAGCAATAAAGCAACACATGGTATGTTCTCTATGACTTCCCAAACTTTAACTCACCTATCGAGTGTTTTTGAGACGATGTGAAGCCTGGAAAGCTTTCTATCATTCCTATTTTATTCCTGCTTGATTGTTGTGGAATAACTCAGAAAATCACACACTTTGAAATATTGTCTTGAAATGTTTTCCTTTGCAAAAGAACCAGCATTTCACAAATAGGGTTGATTTCTCTACCTGTATATTTGTGTTACCAAAATATCTTAAAAACTCAATGATTGAAACTCAGTGGAAAAAACGGACAAAAGTAATGTTTTAAATAATAGAAGTTTGCTGATAAAATGGTGACAACTCATCGATTTATTCATTTATTTGAACAGATTTGAACAGATACTTTTATATTCCTAAAACGTGTTACAATGTAGAGACAGATGAATTTACCCTTGAAAAGATGATCAGCAAGCGATTTTTCACAAGTTTACATTTAAACTGTTCTCTTGCTTTTGCGCTCATATTAACAAAATAGAAGGGATTTGTATTATCAGAACTAGAGCACATAGAATGCAGTACAGACACCATTATGTGTCACACTAAATTATATTTACATATTATAAAGAATCCAAATACATTCGTCCTACATTTTTACATAATTACAGCCGTTTATATAAAATTAGACATTTTGTAAATGTTGGACTTTTCCAAACATTATGTCATGAAAATGTTGATAAAATATAACGTACAAATCACAACTTCAACAAACAAGATTGTTTTATCTAAATTAAAATAGAAATACAGACAAAAAATCAAAGAGGGAAAATCCCAGTCCCAGCCGCGTTAGAGTCCGGACATATTGTAGTTGCTCTATTTAAACTTCCGCCTACTTCAGCTCACACAACTCCGCTGAGCTTCCAGAAGTGTGTGGAAGCCAAAACCCAGGATAGAGAGGCTGAGTGAAGGTGGTCTGCTCTCTGTGGAGGAGGGTCATGGTGTCAGACACGCTGTAGTAAGAGAGAGAACCTGCTCTGTGATCCAGGTACACTCCTATTCTGGAGGACGGAGGGCCTGAGACGGGAGTAGAAATACGTTGATGGTAGAATTATATTTACCATCACTGTTACATAATGCCCAAGATTTGTTATTATATCCAAATACATTCATTAGTGTCCCAGTTCTGCTAATATCCTTGTATGCCACTGCTATAAAAGCTGTCCCGCTCCACTCCACCTCCCAGTAACAACGTCCAGTTAGACCCTCTGTACTCAGGACCTGACGATAATCAACAAATCTGTCTGGGTGAGCAGAATATGGCTGATCTACTTTCATTAGTGTTGCTTTCCTGTTCCCGTCACTCAATGATAACCGCCTGTATGCTGTATTTGGATCCAATGTGATTTGACGAGAATATCTCCTGAATCCAGCTCTGGTTCTGGGCTCTGCTTGGGTCATTAAAACATCCACTCCAGTCACTGCCAGAGAGATGTTTTCCCACTCCTCAGTCACAACAGCCTGCAGTTTATCTCTGGTCTCTGACACCGCCGCGGTCACGTCCTCAAAGAAGCGCAGAGGACAGATATCAATGCTGGGTAAGTCTTCAGACTCACTCAGACGTGACAGTGAGGGGGTAGTTGTTTAGGAAATGCAGGTGGTCCTCGGTGTGAGACAGCTGCAGCAGCTCAGCGTCTGTCCTCCGCAGCTCAGTGATCTCCTGCTGCAGCTTCTCCTCAACATCTTGAGCTTGACTCACTTGGGTTTTCTGCTGGGATCTGATCTTCTGCTTCACCTCAGAGCTTCTTTTCTCAATGAGATGAATGAGCTCAGTGAAGATCTTCTCACTGTCCCTCACTGCTTCATCAGCAGAGCGATTGATAGCCTCCACCCTCTGTTGAAGCGCCTTGACGTCCTTCTCTCTGTCCTGGGCTCTCTGTTGGACTTCTCCCCGGCTCACCCCGAGCTCCTTCTGCCTGTCAGCCCTCTCTGCTGCAGCGGAGACGGTGTCATGGCCTTTGTGGTCATCCATGGAGCAGAGATAACAGATGCTCTGCTGATCAGTGCGGCAGAAAATCTTCATCACCTCGTCGTGGCGAGAGCAGATGTTCTCCTGAAGCTTTGAGGTGGCTTCAACCAACTTGTGTTTCTTTAATGGAGCTACATCAAAGTGAGGTTGGAGGTGTTGCTCACAGAAAGAGGCCATACACACCAGACAGGACTTGAAGGCTTTCAGCTTCACCCCGTAGCAGTAATCACAGACCACATCTCCAGGTGTTGCAATGGAAAGATCAGGTGAAGCATCTTGAAGCCCTATTTTCTTCAGTTCCTCCACTAACTCTGCAAGCAGGTATTTTTCACCAGGGCAGGCCTCGGTTTGAAGCTCTGCCTGCACTGTGGGCAGCTGTAGGTTTTCTCCTCATTCTCCTTACCCCAGCAGTCTTTAATACAGCTCATGCAATAACTATGCCCACAGGGAATAGTTACCGGATCCTTTAGAATATCCAGACAGATCGAACAGCTCAGTTTTTCCCGACCCAGACTCACTTGCTGCGCCATTTCTCCTCTACGACAGTGAATGTCAGTAAGTTTTACTTTCTGTTTCCTGATGTTGAATCACTGATCTACAACGTATGGGATTTTCAGTACTTACACGTCACCACGTGGTGCTTACACCCATCTTTAAACTGTCAGATCTGTGAAAGGGGAGGAACAACGTCTGAGCTGTGTAGACTTTGAGCAGGAGGAGCCTCGCATAGCCAGTAAATGAAGTCCACAGTGTGTGGGGAGGCGAAGTCACGCCCATCTAATTCCGGTCTATTAAACACTTTTAAAACCTAAGCATTACAAAAAGTGAAAAGACTACAAGAAATCCCAGAATGCTCCTCGTTCTACTTTAAAAAACGTCCGAACTCGGACCGTTGGATTCAAATTTCTGACCGTTAGGATGAATTTCTCCCCTTTATTGTTGCCAAAATGTTAAAAACAGTACACATATTTAAATTGATAACAAATCATAATATAAATGCATATATATTTTTTAATCGTCATATTTTTCTAACAGACCGGCAGTGGTGTTACACCGACTGTTGACGGTGTAACACCACACTGGAGAAGACGCTTGCATCCCTTCATTGTAAATTGTTTTTTAGCTCCATTTATTCTCCTTTAAATATCTTTAATTCATCGTAAATGAGTTGCAGCGGAGACAGCGATGATGACAGCAGTTGTAAGCGGAAGGTGGCTTATGTTTACAGCCCGGAATACATCCAGACTTGCGATAGTTTATCCAAAGTACCAAACAGGGTGAGTTACCTTGAAACGTTAGTTCACTGTGAGGCGTTTTACTCACTGGTTCTTTTCAATATTTCAATCTAATTCTCTGCTCATTTCCAGGCAAGTATGGTCCACTCACTGATAGAAGCCTACGGACTCCTTAAACACATGAGGTGAGTGAAGCTAATGTTGGTTTCTTAGTTTAACAGAGCTATTAAAACACATTTTAATAACAGAAATGGCATCACATAAGGTTGCTTTACAGACGAACAAGTATGTTTACCTAGGTGCTTCCTGTAGTGCTAACCTTTTAAAAGTACTCCTTAAAATCAAGTGGATGCTGATAAATAACTTTTAGTCAATGTCTTTGATTTACTATTTTGAAGCTGATCTTATTACTTGTCTTTTTAGGTGGAGCTAACTCATTGTAAAACGACCTCAGTCTTTTAAGGATTAAACTTTGCTGCCCTAACCACAACCCTTACAACCACATACGAGTCTATTCATCCTCCCACTAAATATCATGGGTGTTTTTGGAAAGAAAAATGTAGAAGCTTCTATAAAATTACACAAAACCTATAGCTGTAATCCAAATACTTCTTAAATATTGAATGGCTGTCTTACTTTTGGCTTTTTTGTCACTGGATTTTTATTGACAAAGACTTCCTCTGCCACTGTGTGCTTATACAACACTAAAGCATGCACCACTCATATTCTTTTCTTTCCCTTCCCCGCAGCGTCGTTAAACCTCAGGTAGCGACCATCGAGGACATGGCCAAGTTCCACACAGACTCTTACCTGGAGCATCTTCACAAGATCAGCCAGGACGGAGACAACGACGACCCGCAGTCCGGAGACTACGGCCTGGGTGAGAAGAGCCACGAAGAGCCTTACACAATCCCATTTGTTATCAGAATCTGTTCATTCACTACAGACAGATTTATGGAAGCATTATGTGAAAAATAAAGGGTTTCAAGTGGAAACAAGTACTGCTATATGACTTTTTGAGAAGCGCTATGCAGTTCTGCTTTGTCGGCAACAGGGGGCACTATAACACAAGCTTCAAAAACAATAATAACAGCTTTATTAAAGGCCAAGACATCCATATATTGAATAGAAAAAGATGTCTATTTTCCCCACAATGTGTTCCTGTGAGTCAGATAAGATAAGATAGACCTTTATTAATCCCTGTGGGGAAATTCAGGAGTTTAAGCAGCAGCAACACTGGAGATTGAAAAACACAGATTCACACAAGATAGATCACACAAATTATTACAATTTAAAGATACAATTATATTCAGGTAAGTAACTGTACTACAATAAGAAGTGAATGAAATGAACATATAAAGGCCCTGACACACCAGGCCGATTTCGGCTGTTCTCGTAAGTCGGGAGACGAAGCGTGTCCTGTCGCCCAAACTCAATTTGGTGTGTCCCGCACCGTCGACCGTGACACGCCTTATTTGGACTGCCAGACCCGATGCATGGCCGATTCAACATGTTGAATCGGCCATGCATCGGGTCTGGCAGTCGGACCAAACAATCACTCTGATTGGCTGTTCAGCTAGCGAATCAGTGCATGAGAAGCGAAACGGAAGTGAGGGACGTAAACAAACGATTTGAGAAGGCACACACAGACTGATATTCATTTTCATCTCATAATGGCGATCAGGAATGACGCAAACGAAGACCTGCTCATCACCTTGATCCAGGAGAGGCCAGCTCTGTACGACATCACAGAGAAAAGGTACTCGAACCGAGTAGTGAAAACCGGACTCTGGCGAGAGATTGAAACGCAACTTGGTTTCTCGGGTAAGATGATCTTTTTCATCAATTGAGCTCTTTAGCAGATATTGTTGGCTTTTTATTGTTTGCCAGCGTACAGTGACGTTAACGTGAAATGTAATTTGTTATTTCAACCTTGTGTTTTGTTGTTATCTTGTTGCTAGCTGTTGCTAGCTGTGCAGTTTGGCACTGCATATAGATATGAATTGGACATGCTAACTAGCCACAATGCTTACATCGTTTATTTGTGTGCTTCAGAGAAAGAGCTGAGGAAGAAGTGGATTCTCTGCGAACCCAGTGCACCCGGTACAGGAGACTTGCCCCTTCGGGTAGCTGTGGACCAAAGACGGGCAGACAGCAGTGGATCATAACCAGGCTGCAGTTTGCACACGCTATTTGTTGTTGTTTATATCACGCAGTCTGTTCTTCTTCTCTGTCTTCCGGTTGTTGCCTATTTTTAATGACGAATACACACTACCGCCGCCTGCTGGTAAGGAGAGTTATTGCCACTCACGCACTGAAGTCTTTGCGGTGTGTTCCCGTGCGACACATGGCCAAGACGCAGGAGAACACCGCGACGCAAACACGTCGGCGTCGGCGAGTCCTCTGGTGACTGCTTGGTGTGTCAGGGCCTTAAGACGTCTTGGACTGTCACAGTATAAAATGCACGGTCACCATGTGTCACTGATTTCTGAGACACTTGATTTAAATGAAGCTCAGCGCAAGTTCTTTCAGGAAGACTGGGTATGTATCATTCACTCCGCAGCTGCATATTATCAGCTCATCACGGGCGTTGTCTATAACCCATTACATTCACCTCGTTCTCCAGCAGCCAATCACCGAGCTGCAGCCAAACTTTGAAATGGTTCTCCTCTCTCCTGCAGTCAGCTGTGACTTCAGGTTTTCATGCCGCGGCCCTCCTCCTCCTCATCCACCTCCTCTTCATCACATCTCCTCATCACATCCAGATCTTCAGCATCATCACCAGTGTCTCGACCCCGGGGGGTTCCCTATATGCTCACGGCTGCATTTCCCCCTTTAAGGTAGGGACACACCAAGCTGACGCCAAAGAACTCACACAGACTGCTGTGTCGCCTCAGATATACCACTTCAGGATCGGGGTCTAATCGCCAAAGACTTCACATTTATCATATGACATGTGTCAAGAAATGTTCTTTAAACAAAATGAAGTCTCTCCTGATTGAACTGTAAATGAGCAACACATCATTATGTGTTTCTTTACCAGGTCAAATGTCTGCGTTGAAAAAGGACTTCATCTCTCCTGCTCCATGTTAAGGGGGCCTCTGTTCCTCAAGCTTCTGCACTTTAACGTTGCTTTTTAAAAACTGACACGTTATTGACATGTATATTCACATTAAGTGTGTAACTTGGGTTTTTCCTTTTGCACTAAAAGCACCAAGTCTTTAAATCAACTTACAGAAAGTGTATTTAGTCAGCATTCAACAGCGTTAGCTCCCAGGAGGTGTTGCAGGTGGAGCAGGGGCTAGTTCCACTCATTCCTGTGGATCCATACAATCTTTGATCTCGGTACTTATTTTAATGTTCATTCATATTCCCAGAAATGTCTTCGGCTTTTGGGAAAGACAGTTCAAAAGATAACTGATGAACAACAACCTAAAGTAAAATAATCATAGCTGGAGAACCAAATCCTGGTGATCAAGTCGTTGTTGGATTTTTCATATGTTGTGTCAATGTGATTTGAATGAAGATGTCCTTACCCGTAACAGTCATTATTTATTCAACTTAGAACATGGAAAGAATCCCCAGGAGCATTTGTAATCTTATTAGGAAGACTGCTGAGAGATAAAATGTATTATTATTATTATATCTGAGAAGTGATCAGGACGAACAGAAAGAGCAAAACGAAAAGAGAGTTCACTGAGAGACCAGGAGGGTCAGAGCAGGAGGAAGAGGGGGGATGAAGAGACCAGGAGGGTCAGAGCCAGGCGCGCCGGATTCATTTTAGAAGGGGGGGGGCAAAAAAAGTGCGTGTGTATGGCCCAATCCCAAACCACGCCCTACACCTACACACACACCCTCCGTGACGGAGTGAACTCCGTGGAGTGACACATGAGGCTCCCTCCTGTCAGATGGAGGGAGTAAATACAGCAGCAAGCTTTGGGACAAACTCCCCTCTCTCCGCGAGAGAAACAGGAAATGCGTAACTGTATGTAGGCCTAACAACGGTTTCAAATCAGCATCTCTTAGACAAAAATGTAAATGAATAACTCAAATAAAACTCCAAACATCTTTGGTTACTTTTTGTAAAGCTCTTTTAGTTTTAAACCTGATGTTTATAAGCTTCTTAGTTTTTGCAATAGTCTGTAATATACACAACTTTATAATAAAATGCACACATTTACCTTTTTCTAGACTAAACACAGGTATGATCCTAAGTTAAAAATATGAGGTTATCATGAGGTTGTTAACATCGCAATTTATCACTATCGTTTAGTGGTTTTGCAAAGAATGAACCACTCTCTGTTTTTGTACCATTCTGCGTTGAAGTACCTTCTCTTTGCTCAAATAATCTACTAGCGGTCTCCTTTTTTCCGATAGTTAGCTGTACAGCTTTACCCGCCTCAATGTCCCAACAACAAACCTCCATGCAGTCGGAACCAGCCTGTTTCGGTTCAACGACGGCGGCGGTGGTTTTGACAGTTTCTGCGGCCGCAGAGCTGCTGCTTTTGGGTTCATCTGGCTTCGCTGTTTCTATGATTGATGAAGGTCCAGGCTCCGGAGATGTGGATGTCAGGGATGTGACCTTCCAGTTGTTACATTTAAGTTTAGATTGACTGTATTTGTGACCTGCTCCATCGAAATCAGTCGCATTGACCCGAAGACACATTTTGAGTTGTATACACTGTTGGAAAGAGGATATTCCTAGCTTTCTAATGATATCAGGATTGTTTTTGTACTCCAAATATTAAGCGAAATATGTCACATTATATAATGACTGTCACCGAGTCTCATTTGAGAAAAAGGCCTTAAAAGTTTCCTCTTCTCTGGATCGATCTGATTGATTAGTAGCAAATGATCAAAATACTACGGAGGGAAGATATTTTCATTTGGAGGGGAAGCTCGCGAGGTGTGTGTGTATACGTGTGTGTGTTTGTGTAATTTTGCGTTTGTGTGTATTGTGTTTGTTTCCCGGGGAAAACACTCACAAGAAACACCGGCTGTTGTTATGCCTGCTATGACGTTAAATTACTCCGTTCTCCGCTTGTAATTATGCCGAAGCTTCAAAGTTGTATTTATCATCTGAATTTGCCGAAATAAGTTTAATATTCTGAAAGCCAAGACTTTGTTTAATTAAAATCAGATGAAAACAAACTGTAACGGACCCTGCCGTGTTATCTATGATTACTATACTCTTACATTCATAATTTCAGCGGAGGGAGGGGGGCGGCGACGCTGCTGGAAGAGCAGATTGCGATGAGAGGTGCCTCTTCGTCCCTTTACAAGCTTCAAAAATGTATTTATCGTGTGATTTTGGAAATAAAAGTTTCATATTCTGAAAGCCAAGACTTTGTTTGTTTAAAATCAAACAAAACACCCGAACCCTGAAAAAATAGTTTTTTACGTAAATCCACGTTTATTCTGAAATGAGCCGTTGCGACTTCCGACTGATTTCGATAGAGCGGGTCACATTTAGTATTTCTTCTGCGCTGGTTCTTCTGACATGTTTGCAAGTGTATATTATTTCTAGGTTAACGGCTGACACACACACAGTAAACAACGTAACAAATAAACAAATCTAAGCTTTTTTATTGGTTGTAATTTACATGGATACATTTGAATGGTGTGACAATGTCCTATTTGATTGGGTTAAAATGTACATATTCTTCCTGTTATGTCTGCCTGCTTTATTTTACCTAATGCAAAGTGACCTGCTGCTCCATCGAAATCAGTCGCATTGACCCGAAGACATATTTTGATTCCTAGCTTTCTAATGATATCAGGATTGTTTTTGTACTCCAAATATTAAGCAAAATATGTCACATTATATAATGACTGTTACAGAGTCATCATTTTGAGAAAAGGCCTTTAAAGTTTTCTCTTCTCTGGAATCCATCATTTCTCATCATCAATCATCATGATTGATTATTAGCGGAGCAAATGATCAAAATACTACGGAGGGAAGATATTTTCGTTTGGATTACTGCACTCACGAGAAACACCGGCTGTGTTATGGCTGCTGTGACGTTAAACTACTCCGTTCTCCGCTTGTAATTATGCCGTCACAAGCTTCAAAGTTGTAGGCCTATTTATCATCTGAATTTGCCGAAACAAGTTTAATATTCTGAAAGCCAAGAACTTTGCTTCTTTGAAATCAGATAAAAACAAACTGTAACCGACCCCTGCGTGTATCTATGATTACTATACACCTACATTCATAATTTCAGCGGGAGGGAGGGGGGGCGGCGCTGAGGAACAGCAGACGTGGCCAGTGAGAGCTGTCATCTTCCCTTCACAAGCTTCAAACATGCCTGTAGCTAGTGAGATTGAATATAAACAATCAAAAATAACAAAATATACACAGCTAGATCAGATCACGTTTTAGATGCGGACTTTAGAGTATGAGGGGAATTATTGAAACGGGATTTGTACAGTTTTCGCGGCACAGTTTCATGGAAACACATCAGCTTTTGGACGACAGTCAATATGGATTCAGGAAAGATAGATCAACATCTATGGCACTAATGGAATTAAGTGAGGAAAGAGCAAACTGCATGGACAATAAAAAACAAGCAGTGGGAATATTTATAGACTTACAAAAAGCATTTGACACCATCACAATATTTTACTGATGAAACTGGAACGGTATGGCATCAGAGGGGTGGGAATTAAACTGGGTGAGAGATTATTTAAGCAACAGACAACAATTTGTTGAATTTGTTGAAAACATAAAACAAATCCACAGATACAATTAATACTAGATAACATACACATAGAAAGAGTATATGAAATGAAGTTCCTTGGTGTGGTTTTAGACCACAAAATCAGCTGGAAATCTCATATCACTCATGTAAAAGCAAAACTAAAACTATCGCAATATTGGGAAAAGCCAGATACATTCTGGACTACAACTCATTGCATACTCTATATAACACACTAATATTGCCATATCTGATTTACTGTGTGGAGATTTGGGGAAACACGTACAAAACCAACCTACAGCCGTTATGCACATTACACAAAAGGGCTATAAGAGTTATCAATAATGTTGGATATCTTGAACACACTAATGTATTATTTTTGAAGTCACACATATTGAAGTTCATTGATCTGGTTAAATTTAAAACGGCACAAATCATGTACAGAGCCAGACATAATCTACTTCCTAGGAAATAAAAACACTGTTCGTAGACAGAGATGGTGGGTATCATCTGAGAGGAAATCTACATTTTAAACTCAAGGTCAGAACAACTCTGAGAAGTATGAGTTTAACAATCTGTGGGGTGATTTTATGGAATGGTTTGGAGCAGGAGTTAAAACAAAGCACAAGCATCATTCAGTTTAAAAGGATGCACAGAAACACTTTTTTTGGAAAACTATGAGAATGAAGAAAGGTGATTGAAGATGAAATGATTGTATATGTATAAATGTAAATGTATGTAGGAATAACTTGCATAATGATTTAAAGGACAATCATTGATCAAGTAAGGGGTGGGAATTAATAAGCATTTGCTTCCTCCTGCTCCTTTCGGACACATATGATTTATTATTATTAATATGAAGACTTTTTTGTTGTTTTTTTGTTGAATATACAAATATTACCATGAATGTGGATAAATACTGTATTATAACAATACGGTATTCTGTTTTTCACATTTGTTATTTGTTATTTTTGAATCTGTTCGAAATAAAGACTGAAAGAAAAAAAAAATCTGCTGCTGCGAAAATGTGGGGCAGGGCTGAAAAGTGGGGGGGCCAATGGCCCCCCCCCGCAGGAGGAAGAGGAGGAGATGAAGAGACCAGGAGGGTCAGAGCAGGAGGAAGAGGAGGAGATGAAGAGACCAGGAGGGTCAGAGCAGGAGGAAGAGGAGGAGATGAAGAGACCAGGAGGGTCAGAGCAGGAGGAAAGAGGAGGAGATGAAGAGACCAGGAGGGTCCGAGCAGGAGGAAGAGGAGGAGATGAAGAGACCAGGAGGGTCAGAGCAGGAGGAAGAGGAGGAGATGAAGAGACCAGGAGGGTCAGAGCAGGAGGAAGAGGAGGAGATGAAGACATTAGTGAAGAAGAAGAATGTATGTGAGGAATAAAGATGAAGTATCAGAGAGAGGGCCAGAGGCAGGGATCAGGAGGCAGAGGAGACTCCAGCTGGACCACATGGTATGTTCTTATTCTCCTTACATATTCCATTACAGCAGCTCAATCTAGCAGCTCTTAGTATTGACACATATTGATTGAAATGTGTTGCTGCACAGGTCACCTGTAGCTCTCTGAAGAGATGGGTGATGTCATTTGTGTACTTAATTATAATTAAGTACTTACAGTATGCAGAATTCTGAGTATTCTCTGAATCGGGTGCCTTTTGGGTCTTTATATCCTTGAAAAATGACACCAAATTGTTTGGTCATAACATCTGGTAGTTGACTACTTACATGTTCCCACCTCAGGCTCAACATATAAATAATTACTAGGAATTTCCTTGAAAAAATGTAACAGGGTTGAAGTTTTTGACAAAAAGTAGGCATGAGCCCTTGTTTAGCTAAGATATGGCACCACATGGAAATCAAGGACATTACAACATTGTAATATTTTGCAAAACTATTGTTTATTTTGTAATAAACAATTATTTATTATGAATTCATATAACAGAATTAAAGTCATACATCAAACTTGTACATCGTTACAGATATTTAAGAATAATATAAAAGCTCAAAGTGCATAAGTGTGTGCTGTCAAATGTAACCAGGAAGTAAAGTGAATTCAAAACAGAAGGAAACAGCCTTTCTCCAACTTGTAAAGCACATTTAGAGGTTTGACACAAGCATAATCCAGATCCAGCATTAGATGATTAGTGATTCATAAAACAAGGAGAAAGTATTGTGTCGATGTGAATTAAATGTGGTTACTACAACTCAGCCATTTCTTTTTTGTCTTGTCATTTCAATTTCAGTTTATTTGATTTGATCTATGTTTCTGATCTAGGTTTGTAAATGAATACAAAATAAAACCACTGTTTTTAGCGTCCTCTAGCGAAAAGCAAGGACGTCATATATTTGCCTGCATTTTATAAACATACTTTAAACTTTAATAAACCTTATCAACCAAAGTCAATTGGAAACGAATGGTCGTGCCAAGCCTCGGCTCTGAAAGGATCGCTTTCTCTCATGTCAGGTTTTGTTTATTTTTGTTGGCTTCAGTTTTTATTAAGTCCTCTTTTTGTTACGCTAGTTTTTCCTCCTTGTGAGCGCCTTTTGTTATTTCCACCACCTGCTCTGTTCAGAGGGATTACCTGACCTGTGGGAATAAATATACTTTTTTTATATTCAAGACTTTGTCTCTGTCGTGCGTTTGTGTTCATCAGTTTGTGTCGAGGTCCTGACTTCATGCAAAGTACTTTGTTCTTTCTGACCGACATTTGAACTGAACTGACATGTTGGATATGGACCAATGAGGACAACACAAAAGGGACACGGATGTTCATGGAAGTTGGTTTACCTAAAGACTCAATAATATGCCTAATTTATACTAATCCCTGTCATTAAGCTGTAAGTTAAATCAGTGCACACAAATGCATACTTTGTGATTTCCTTTATTATTTTTGGAGTGATGTTCTCTTGTCACTGTCTTCAGCAATAAAGCAACACATGGTATGTTGTCTATGACTTCCCAAACTTTAACTCACCTATCGAGTGTTTTTGAGACGATGTGAAGCCTGGAAAGCTTTCTATCATTCCTATTTTATTCCTGCTTGATTGTTGTGGAATAACTCAGAAAATCACACACTTTGAAATATTGTCTTGAAATGTTTTCCTTTGCAAAAGAACCAGCATTTCACAAATAGGGTTGATTTCTCTACCTGTATATTTGTGTTACCAAAATATCTTAAAAACTCAATGATTGAAACTCAGTGAAAAAACGGACAAAAGTAATGTTTTAAATAATAGAAGTTTGCTGATAAAATGGTGACGACTCATCGATTTATTCATTTATTTGAACAGATTTGAACATATACTTTTTATATTCCTAAAACGTGTTACAATGTAGAGACAGATGAATTTACCCTTGAAAAGATGATCAGCAAGCGATTTTTCACAAGTTTACATTTAAACTGTTCTCTTGCTTTTGCGCTCATATTAACAAAATAGAAGGGATTTGTATTATCAGAACTAGAGCACATAGAATGCAGTACAGACACCATTATGTGTCACACTAAATTATATGTTACATGTTATAAAGAATCCAAATACATTCGTCATACATTTTTACATAATTACAGCCGTTTATATAAAATTAGACATTTTGTAAATGTTGGACTTTTCCAAACATTATGTCATGAAAATGTTGATAAAATATAACGTACAAATCACAACTTCAACAAACAAGATTGTTTTATCTAAATTAAAATAGAAATACAGACAAAAAATCAAACGGGGAAAATCCCAGTCCCAGCCGCGTTAGAGTCCGGACATATTGTAGTTGCTCTATTTAAACTTCCGCCTACTTCAGCTCACACAACTCCGCTGAGCTTCCAGAAGGGTTTAGAAGCCAAAACCCAGGATAGAGAGGCTGAGTGAAGGTGGTCTGCTCTCTGTGGAGGAGGGTCATGGTGTCAGACACGCTGTAGTAAGAGAGAGAACCTGCTCTGTGATCCAGGTACACTCCTATTCTGGAGGACGGAGGGCCTGAGACGGGAGTAGAAATACGTTGATGGTAGAATTCATATTTACCGCCACTGTTACAATTTAATGCCCAAGATTTGTTATTATATCCAAATACACATTCATTAAATGTCCCAGTTCTGCTAATATCCTTGTATGCCACTGCTATAAAAGCTGTCCCGCTCCACTCCACCTCCCAGTAACAACGTCCAGTTAGACCCTCTGTACTCAGGACCCGACAATAATCAACAAATCTGTCTGGGTGAGCAGAATATGGCTGATCTACTTTCATTAGTGTTGCTTTCCTGTTCCCGTCACTCAATGATAACAGCCTGTGTGCTGTATTTGGATCCAATGTGATTTGACGAGAATATCTCCTGAATCCAGCTCTGGTTCTGGGCTCTGCTTGGGTCATTAAAACATCCACTCCAGTCACTGCCAGAGAGATGTTTTCCCACTCCTCAGTCACAACAGCCTGCAGTTTATCTCTGGTCTCTGACACCGCCGCGGTCACGTCCTCAAAGAAGCGCAGAGGACAGATATCAATGCTGGGTAAGTCTTCAGACTCACTCAGACGTGACAGTGAGGGGTAGTTGTTTAGGAAATGCAGGTGGTCCTCGGTGTGAGACAGCTGCAGCAGCTCAGCGTCTGTCCTCCGCAGCTCAGTGATCTCCTGCTGCAGCTTCTCCTCAACATCTTGAGCTTGACTCACTTGGGTTTCTGCTGGGATCTGATCTTCTGCTTCACCTCAGAGCTTCTTTTCTCAATGAGATGAATGAGCTCAGTGAAGATCTTCTCACTGTCCCTCACTGCTTCATCAGCAGAGCGATTGATAGCCTCCACCCTCTGTTGAAGCGCCTTGACGTCCTTCTCTCTGTCCTGGGCTCTCTGTTGGACTTCTCCCCGGCTCACCCCGAGCTCCTTCTGCCTGTCAGCCCTCTCTGCTGCAGCGGAGACGGTGTCATGGCCTTTGTGGTCATCCATGGAGCAGAGATAACAGATGCTCTGCTGATCAGTGCGGCAGAAAATCTTCATCACCTCGTCGTGGCGAGAGCAGATGTTCTCCTGAAGCTTTGAGGTGGCTTCAACCAACTTGTGTTTCTTTAATGGAGCTACATCAAAGTGAGGTTGGAGGTGTTGCTCACAGAAAGAGGCCATACACACCAGACAGGACTTGAAGGCTTTCAGCTTCACCCCGTAGCAGCAATCACAGACCACATCTCCAGGTGTTGCAATGGAAAGATCAGGTGAAGCATCTTGAAGCCCTATTTTCTTCAGTTCCTCCACTAACTCTGCAAGCATGGTATTTTTCACCAGGGCAGGCCTCGGTTTGAAGCTCTGCCTGCACTGTGGGCAGCTGTAGGTTTTCTCCTCATTCTCCTTACCCCAGCAGTCTTTAATACAGCTCATGCAATAACTATGCCCACAGGGAATAGTTACCGGATCCTTTAGAATATCCAGACAGATCGAACAGCTCCGTTTTTCCCGACCCAGACTCACTTGCTGCGCCATTTCTCCTCTACGACAGTGAATGTCAGTAAGTTTTACTTTCTGTTTCCTGATGTTGAATCACTGATCTACAACGTATGTGATTTTCAGTACTTACACGTCACCACGTGGTGCTTACACCCATCTTTAAACTGTCAGATCTGTGAAAGGGGAGGAACAACGTCTGAGCTGTAGACTTTGAGCATGAGGAGCCTCGCATAGCCAGTAAATGAAGTCCACAGTGTGTGGGGAGGCGAAGTCACGCCCATCTAATTCCGGTCTATTAAACACTTTTAAAACCTAAGCATTACAAAAAGTGAAAAGACTACAAGAAATCCCAGAATGCTCCTCGTTCTACTTTAAAAAACGTCCGAACTCGGACCGTTGGATTCAAATTTCTGACCGTTATGATGAATTTCTCCCCTTTATTTGTTGCCAAAATTGTTAAAAACAGTACACATATTTAAATTGATAACAAATCATAATATAAATGAATGTATTTAATTTTTTGAATCGTCATATTTTTTCTAACAGACCGGCAGTGGTGTTACACCGACTGTTGACGGTGTAACACCACACTGGAGAAGACGCTTGCATCCCTTCATTGTAAATTGTTTTTTAGCTCCATTTATTCTCCTTTAAATATCTTTAATTCATCGTAAATGAGTTGCAGCGGAGACAGCGATGATGACAGCAGTTGTAAGCGGAAGGTGGCTTATGTTTACAGCCCGGAATACATCCAGACTTGCGATAGTTTATCCAAAGTACCAAACAGGGTGAGTTACCTTGAAACGTTAGTTCACTGTGAGGCGTTTTACTCACTGGTTCTTTTCAATATTTCAATCTAATTCTCTGCTCATTTCCAGGCAAGTATGGTCCACTCACTGATAGAAGCCTACGGACTCCTTAAACACATGAGGTGAGTGAAGCTAATGTTGGTTTCTTAGTTTAACAGAGCTATTAAAACACATTTTAATAACAGAAATAGCATCACATAAGGTTGCTTTACAGACGAACAAGTATGTTTACCTAGGTGCTTCCTGTAGTGCTAACCTTTTAAAAGTACTCCTTAAAATCAAGTGGATGCTGATAAATAACTTTTAGTCAATGTCTTTGATTTACTATTTTGAAGCTGATCTTATTACTTGTCTTTTTAGGTGGAGCTAACTCATTGTAAAACGACCTCAGTCTTTTAAGGATTAAACTTTGCTGCCCTAACCACAACCCTTACAACCACATACGAGTCTATTCATCCTCCCACTAAATATCATGGGTGTTTTTGGAAAGAAAAATGTAGAAGCTTCTATAAAATTACACAAAACCTATAGCTGTAATCCAAATACTTCTTAAATATTGAATGGCTGTCTTACTTTTGGCTTTTTTGTCGCTGGATTTTTATTGACAAAGACTTCCTCTGCCACTGTGTGCTTATACAACACTAAAGCATGCACCACTCATATTCTTTTCTTTCCCTTCCCCGCAGCGTCGTTAAACCTCAGGTAGCGACCATCGAGGACATGGCCAAGTTCCACACAGACTCTTACCTGGAGCATCTTCACAAGATCAGCCAGGACGGAGACAACGACGACCCGCAGTCCGGAGACTACGGCCTGGGTGAGAAGAGCCACGAAGAGCCTTACACAATCCCATTTGTTATCAGAATCTGTTCATTCACTACAGACAGATTTATGGAAGCATTATGTGAAAAATAAAGGGTTTCAAGTGGAAACAAGTACTGCTATATGACTTTTTGAGAAGCGCTATGCAGTTCTGCTTTGTCGGCAACAGGGGGCACTATAACACAAGCTTCAAAAACAATAATAACAGCTTTATTAAAGGCCAAGACATCCATATATTGAATAGAAAAAGATGTCTATTTTCCCCACAATGTGTTCCTGTGAGTCAGATAAGATAAGATAGACCTTTATTAATCCCTGTGGGGAAATTCAGGAGTTTAAGCAGCAGCAACACTGGAGATTGAAAAACACAGATTCACACAAGATAGATCACACAAATTATTACAATTTAAAGATACAATTATATTCAGGTAAGTAACTGTTACAATAAGAAGTGAATGAAATGAACATATAAAGGCCCTGACACACCAGGCCGATTTCGGCTGTTCTCGTAAGTCGGGAGACGAAGCGTGTCCTGTCGCCCAAACTCAATTTGGTGTGTCCCGCACCGTCGACCGTGACACGCCTTATTTGGACTGCCAGACCCGATGCATGGCCGATTCAACATGTTGAATCGGCCATGCATCGGGTCTGGCAGTCGGACCAAACAATCACTCTGATTGGCTGTTCAGCCAGCGAATCAGTGCATGAGAAGCGAAACGGAAGTGAGGGACGTAAACAAACGATTTGAGAAGGCACACACAGACTGATATTCATTTTCATCTCATAATGGCGATCAGGAATGACGCAAACGAAGACCTGCTCATCACCTTGATCCAGGAGAGGCCAGCTCTGTACGACATCACAGAGAAAAGGTACTCGAACCGAGTAGTGAAAACCGGACTCTGGCGAGAGATTGAAACGCAACTTGGTTTCTCGGGTAAGATGATCTTTTTCATCAATTGAGCTCTTTAGCAGATATTGTTGGCTTTTTATTGTTTGCCAGCGTACAGTGACGTTAACGTGAAATGTAATTTGTTATTTCAACCTTGTGTTTTGTTGTTATCTTGTTGCTAGCTGTTGCTAGCTGTGCAGTTTGGCACTGCATATAGATATGAATTGGACATGCTAACTAGCCACAATGCTTACATCGTTTATTTGTGTGCTTCAGAGAAAGAGCTGAGGAAGAAGTGGATTCTCTGCGAACCCAGTGCACCCGGTAGCTACAGGAGACTTGCCCCTTCGGGTAGCTGTGGACCAAAGACGGGCAGACAGCAGTGGATCATAACCAGGCTGCAGTTTGCACACGCTATTTGTTGTTGTTTATATCACGCAGTCTGTTCTTCTTCTCTGTCTTCCGGTTGTTGCCTATTTTTAATGACGAATACACACTACCGCCGCCTGCTGGTAAGGAGAGTTATTGCCACTCACGCACTGAAGTCTTTGCGGTGTGTTCCCGTGCGACACATGGCCAAGACGCAGGAGAACACCGCGACGCAACAGCCGACGTCGGCGAGTCCTCTGGTGACTGCTTGGTGTGTCAGGGCCTTAAGACGTCTTGGACTGTCACAGTATAAAATGCACTGTCACCATGTGTCACTGATTTCTGAGACACTTGATTTAAATGAAGCTCAGCGCAAGTTCTTTCAGGAAGACTGGGTATGTATCATTCACTCCGCAGCTGCATATTATCAGCTCATCACGGGCGTTGTCTATAACCCATTACATTCACCTCGTTCTCCAGCAGCCAATCACCGAGCTGCAGCCAAACTTTGAAATGGTTCTCCTCTCTCCTGCAGTCAGCTGTGACTTCAGGTTTTCATGCCGCGGCCCTCCTCCTCCTCATCCACCTCCTCTTCATCACATCTCCTCATCACATCCAGATCTTCAGCATCATCACCAGTGTCTCGACCCCGGGGGGTTCCCTATATGCTCACGGCTGCATTTCCCCCTTTAAGGTAGGGACACACCAAGCTGACGCCAAAGAACTCACACAGACTGCTGTGTCGCCTCAGATATACCACTTCAGGATCGGGGGTCTAATCGCCAAAGACTTCACATTTATCATATGACATGTGTCAAGAAATGTTCTTTAAACAAAATGAAGTCTCTCCTGATTGAACTGTAAATGAGCAACACATCATTATGTGTTTCTTTACCAGGTCAATGTCTGCGTTGAAAAAGGACTTCATCTCTCCTGCTCCATGTTTAAGGGGGCCTCTGTTCCTCAAGCTTCTGCACTTTAACGTTGCTTTTTAAAAACTGACACGTTATTGACATGTATATTCACATTAAGTGTGTAACTTGGGTTTTTCCTTTGCACTTAAAAGCACCAAGTCTTTAAATCAACTTACAGAAAGTGTATTTAGTCAGCATTCAACAGCGTTAGCTCCCAGGAGGTGTTGCAGGTGGAGCAGGGGCTAGTTCCACTCATTCCTGTGGATCCATACAATCTTTGATCTCGGTACTTATTTTAATGTTCATTCATATTCCCAGAAATGTCTTCGGCTTTTGGGAAAGACAGTTCAAAAGATAACTGATGAACAACAACCTAAAGTAAAATAATCATAGCTGGAGAACCAAATCCTGGTGATCAAGTCGTTGTTGGATTTTTCATATGTTGTGTCAATGTGATTTGAATGAAGATGTCCTTACCCGTAACAGTCATTATTTATTCAACTTAGAACATGGAAAGAATCCCCAGGAGCATTTGTAATCTTATTAGGAAGACTGCTGAGAGAGAATGTGTTGAGATACAAATGTTAATGAGACATTGTTTGACATGGTTCAGATTTGGGTAACAATTAAAGCAGGACTTTAACATCTGAACACTTTGGCCCTCTTATCGGAGATATTCGTTTGTCAGACTTGTTTTAAAGAGCGAGTTATCAGTGCGACTGATTTAGTCAGCATGTAGAGTCACCTCCGAGTGTACGTCTGTTTCACTGAGTAGCTCTGAGCTCTTATTGAAATGATTTGGGATAAGGTGTAGGAACGTATTGTCTCGTCAAATGTGTTATGTTTTTGTATTTTGTCATGTCCTGTTTTATTTTGTACTTCCCTCTTGTCTTTCATTTCAGGCCCTGTTTCTTCCTCCCCCTTTGTGTGTTTCCCCGCCCCTGAGTGTTTCCACCTGTTCCCACTCACCTCATGTTGAAATAGTCCTGCCTCTCCCCTGTCCTGTGTCACTTCGTCTTGTTTGTTTCCCCGAATGGTCGTGCCAAGCCTCGGCTCTGAAAGGATCGCTTTCTCTCATGTCAGGTTTTGTTATTTTTGTTGGTTTAAGTTTTTATTAAGTCCTCTTTTTGTTACGCTAGTTTTTCCTCCTTGTGAGCGCCTTTTGTTATTTCCACCACCTACTCTGTTCAGAGGGATTACCTGACCTGTGGGAATAAATATACTTTTTTTATATTCAAGACTTTGTCAAATCTGTGAAAGGGGAGGAACAACGTCTGAGCTGTAGACTTTGAGCAGGAGGAGCCTCGCATGCAGTAAATAAGTCGACTGTGTGTGACTCGCCTTCATTCCAGGAAAAGGAGTGGTTTAAGAGTTGCAATCTGTCGTTAACCCCTTAGTTAGTCTGCCTGTCAGATAACTAAAGAAAACTGTGGATCTTAAAAGGTTAAACAAGATCTTTACACGTCTTGAAATCTTGTCCACCATATTTACAAGGCACATCAATGTCTGTACCACATAAAATAACGATATTTTCATGAAACAGCAAATATTTAGAGAATACAAAATAAGGCACACAGGAATCAATTCTAGCAGATAATCAATACACGTCATGTGACGTTATGCAGTAACTTTTCTAACAATATCTAATAAGATAGTTTGAAGTAATATGTTACCAACTGTATTTCATTGGGTGTGTCAGGGTTTGAGTTTTTGTGTGTCTAGTTTTGGGGTTATTTTGCTGTTCTGTTCTCCCTGTCGTTAGTGTCCCTGGTGTGTCTGATTGTGTTCATCTGTGGCCCTTGTGTTTCTCCTCCCAGGCCCGGCTGTTTCTCGTCTCGTGATTACCCCTCCCTGTATTTAGTCGTGTCTCTTCCTGTGTTCAGTATTGGTTCATTATTTGTCGTTCATGTCCCCCTTCATGTTGGTCACGGTCACCTTTGTTTGGATGCTACCTCGTACCTGTTCTTGGATTCTTGTTTTTGTTCAGCTTTTGTTAAATAAAGCTCGCCTTTTGTTTCCTTTTGAAACCGGCTTCCTCCTCAATCTGCATTTGGGTCCTATTTTTCCCCAACCCTGACAGGTTGCTTCTGATTTCCATTCTCCCTCCATCTGTATTAAGACGTTACAATCATATGTAATTTTATTTGTTATGATGATACATTCCGTTTTTGGTATCGGTATGAAAGGATTTTAGTTGAGTTTATGGCTGACATGACGCCTGTTTTACATTCTTGTGTTTGAGGTTTTTTTAAAGCCTTTGTGTTGGATTGGTTGTGTTTGTTTGTATTACTCATTTTGTTTTCAAGGTTTTTTGATGCATATGATGAGGGGGAGGCTGAAGGGATGCTGGCAGGATGCACTGTTTGCTGAGCAGTCCCTCTTTCACAATATATATAGACAACACTACTGCTATAACTATTACTAGGCTATTACTACTACTACTACTACTACTACTAGTATTACTACTACTACTACTACTACTACTACTACTGCTACTATTATTATTACTACTACTACTACTTTTACTACTACTACTACTATTACTACTACTACTACTACTACTACGACTAATAATAATAATATTAATAGTATACATTAGATTGTAGACCACCATCTGGGAGGTGTATCTTTTTTTTAAATGACCAATTTCTATTATTGTATGCAGTGGAAAGGGCCAAGCTTCCCCTTTATAAAACTGTTTAAAATCGCTTAAAATGAACTGTAAGCAAATATGAATAGCGTCTCTGATGCACGTTCTTTTATATAAATAAATACATACAAATACATATTAATTTCACTGTATTCATTGCTTTCATTTTGAGTTTTGAACCGGAAATCGTATTAATTGTTGTAAATAACTTGACACTAGTGTCAGGGGAGGTTATACGGGGGGGAAAGGGGGGCAGCTGCCCCCCCACTGTAGAGCCTTGCCCCCCCAGCTGCCCCCTTAACTTTTGTTTCCCTAAAACTGTACTAAAACAAACCTACACTATTTCCACAAGCTTCTCAAGCAACGAAACAAGCATTACATTAGTTAAAAGTGAATCATTTTAAATATCATTTTAGGCCCGTTAAAAACGCAGCTACGGCCCTGCATTAAACTGCGGAGCGGCGTTCACACAGACCGCGGCTCACAGAGCTGCAGAAAGGTAACGAGCTGTCCCAGCACCTATGGATCAGCTTCCCCTGCGAGCATTTCCCCTTCCACTAGTTTTGTTTTTACTAAGGACGAGAGCTTGAAACTAAATATTAATAAAACGGTGCGGTTTGAATCGATAGCGTTTAACAGACGGGCGCTGTTTGGGGCGTTACGTTACAACATACTACGCAGACAGCGCGAGCTGGGAGATCGATCACTTTGCTAAATTATGCGGTTGTGGTGACCACCTATTAATACACTGGTTCATAATTCACAAATGGATACAGTTGGGGTTTTGTTTCCACACGGACATGTTATGTGTTATCGATATATGTTGTGTGCCCTCCTGGCTTCTCTCTCTTCTTCCCGGACTGCAACCGGATAACATGACCTTAATTACTCTCTAATAAAGTACCCTTTTGCACCTTCCTTGCACCGCCTCTGACTCCCTATCTCTCGGCACTACACGGTAGGCTACTATTAAATCCACGTAAACTACACATCACAGCAATGAGGCCAGATCAATGAAACCAGGATACATCCTTTACCATAAAAACTGGATCCAAACACAGCTGCCTGTGTGCGTTTGATAAATACTTTCTGATGTTATATGCTACTTATTAGCTACATGGCCCTAACGTGTAAAGTTATACAAGCATTTATACCAGTGCTTTTCACAAGTAGACTCTTGCAGGCCAGAGTAGAGGAGTGATTCAACAACAACACAAAGACATATCTGATCATGATTTCCTGTTTGTGTTTTTATCATGTTCTGTTGCCTATAAGCGTTTTCTTTCTTTTTTTAACAAATGGTACGGTGTCATAAAAGGCGCCTAAAAATAAAATGTATTATTATTATTATATCTGAGAAGTGATCAGGACGAACAGAAAGAGGAAAAGGAAAAGAGAGATGAAGAGACCAGGAGGGTCAGAGCAGGAGGAAGAGGGGGAGATGAAGAGACCAGGAGGGTCAGAGCAGGAGGAAGAGGAGGAGATGAAGAGACCAGGAGGGTCTGAGCAGGAGGAAGAGGAGGAGATGTAGAGACCAGGAGGGTCAGAGCAGGAGGAGAGGAGGAGATAAAGAGACCAGGAGGGTCTGAGCAGGAGGAAGAGGAGGAGATGTAGAGACCAGGAGGGTCAGAGCAGGAGGAAGAGGAGGAGATGAAGAGACCAGGAGGGTCTGAGCAGGAGGAAGAGGAGGAGATGTAGAGACCAGGAGGGTCAGAGCAGGAGGAAGAGGAGGAGATGAAGAGACCAGGAGGGTCTGAGCAGGAGGAAGAGGAGGAGATGTAGAGACCAGGAGGGTCAGAGCAGGAGGAAGAGGAGGATATGAAGAGACCAGGAGGGTCAGAGCAGGAGGAAGAGGAGGAGATTAAGAGACCAGGAGGGTCAGAGCAGGAGGAAGAGGAAGAGATGAAGAGACCAGGAGGGTCAGAGCAGGAGGAAGAGGATGAGATGAAGAAACCAGGAGGGTCAGAGCAGGAGGAAGAGGAGGAGATGAAGAGACCAGGAGGGTCCAAGCAGGAGGAAGGGGAGGAGATGAAGAGACCAGGAGGGTCAGAGCAGGAGGAAGAGGAAGAGATGAAGAGACCAGGAGGGTCAGAGCAGGAGGAAGAGGAAGAGATGAAGAGACCAGGAGGGTCAGAGCGGGAGGAAGAGATGAAGAGACCAGGAGGGTCAGAGCAGGAGGAAGAGGAGGAGATGAAGAGACCAGGAGGGTCAGAGCAGGAGGAAGAGGAGGAGATGTAGAGACCAGGAGGGTCAGAGCAGGAGGAAGAGGAGGAGATGAAGAGACCAGGAGGGTCAGAGCAGGAGGAAGAGGAGGAGATGAAGACATTAGTGAAGAAGAAGAAATGTATGTGAGGAATAAAGATGAAGTATCAGAGAGAGGGCCAGAGGCAGGGATCAGGAGGCAGAGGAGACTCCAGCTGGACCACATGGTATGTTCTTATTCTCCTTACATATTCCATTACAGCAGCTCAATCTAGCAGCTCTTAGTATTGACACATATTGATTGAAATGTGTTGCTGCACAGGTCACCTGTAGCTCTCTGAAGAGATGGGTGATGTCATTTGTGTACTTAATTATAATTAAGTACTTACAGTATGCAGAATTCTGAGTTTTCTATGAATCGGGTGCCTTTTGGGTCTTTATATCTTTGAAAAATGACACCAAAATGTTTGGTCATAACATCTGGTAGTTGACTACTTACATGTTCCCACCTCAGGCTCAACATATAAATAATTACTAGGAATTTCCTTGAAAAAATGTAACAGGGTTGAAGTTTTAGACAAAAAGTAGGCATGAGCCCTTGTTTAGCTAAGATATGGCACCACATGGAAATCAAGGACATTACAACATTGTCATATTTTGCAAAACTATTGTTTATTTTGTAATAAACAATTATTTACTATTATGAATTCATATAACAGAATTAAAGTCATACATCAAACTTGTACATCGTTACAGATATTTAAGAATAATATAAAAGCTCAAAAGTGCATAAGTGTGTGCTGTCAAATGTAACCAGGAAGTAAAGTGAATTCAAAACAGAAGGAAACAGCCTTTCTCCAACTTGTAAAGCACATTTAGAGGTTTGACACATGCATAATCCAGATCCAGCGTTAGATGATTAGTGATTCATAAAACAAGGAGAAAGTATTGTGTCGATGTGAATTAAATGTGGTTACTACAACTCAGCCATTTCTTTTTTGTCTTGTCATTTCAATTTCAGTTTATTTGATCTGATCTATGTTTCTGATCTAGGTTTGTAAATGAATACAAAATAAAAACACTGTTTTTAGCGTCCTCTAGCGAAAAGCAAGGGCGTCATATATTTGCCTGCATTTTATAAACATACTTTAAACTTTAATAAACCTTATCAACCAAAGTCAATTGGAAACGAATGGTCGTGCCAAGCCTCGGCTCTGAAAGGATCGCTTTCTCTCATGTCAGGTTTTGTTATTTTTGTTGGCTTCAGTTTTTATTAAGTCCTCTTTTTGTTACGCTAGTTTTTCCTCCTTGTGAGCGCCTTTTGTTATTTCCACCACCTGCTCTGTTCAGAGGGATTACCTGACCTGTGGGAATAAATATACTTTTTTTATATTCAAGACTTTGTCTCTGTCGTGCGTTTGTGTTCATCAGTTTGTGTCGAGGTCCTGACATCATGCAAAGTACTTTGTTCTTTCTGACCGACATTTGAACTGAACTGACATGTTGGATATGGACCAATGAGGACAACACAAAAGGGACACGGATGTTTATGGAAGTTGGTTTACCTAAAGACTCAATAATATGCCTAATTTATACTAATCCCTGTCATTAAGCTGTAAATTAAATCAGTGCACACAAATGCATACTTTGTGATTTCCTTTATTATTTTTGGAGTGATGTTCTCTTCTCACTGTCTTCAGCAATAAAGCAACACATGGTATGTTCTCTATGACTTCCCAAACTTTAACTCACCTATCGAGTGTTTTTGAGACGATGTGAAGCCTGGAAAGCTTTCTATCATTCCTATTTTATTCCTGCTTGATTGTTGTGGAATAACTCAGAAAATCACACTTTGAAATATTGTCTTGAAATGTTTTCCTTTGCAAAAGAACCAGCATTTCACAAATAGGGTTGATTTCTCTACCTGTATATTTGTGTTACCAAAATATCTTAAAAACTCAATGATTGAAACTCAGTGAAAAAACGGACAAAAGTAATGTTTTAAATAATAGAAGTTTGCTGATAAAATGGTGACAACTCATCGATTTATTCATTTATTTGAACAGATTTGAACATATACTTTTTATATTCCTAAAACGTGTTACAATGTAGAGACAGATGAATTTACCCTTGAAAAGATGATCAGCAAGCGATTTTTCACAAGTTTACATTTAAACTGTTCTCTTGCTTTTGCGCTCATATTAACAAAATAGAAGGGATTTGTATTATCAGAACTAGAGCACATAGAATGCAGTACAGACACCATTATGTGTCACACTAAATTATATGTTACATGTTATAAAGAATCCAAATACATTCGTCATACATTTTTACATAATTACAGCCGTTTATATAAAATTAGACATTTTGTAAATGTTGGACTTTTCCAAACATTATGTCATGAAAATGTTGATAAAATATAACGTACAAATCACAACTTCAACAAACAAGATTGTTTTATCTAAATTAAAATAGAAATACAGACAAAAAATCAAACGGGGAAAATCCCAGTCCCAGCCGCGTTAGAGTCCGGACATATTGTAGTTGCTCTATTTAAACTTCCGCCTACTTCAGCTCACACAACTCCGCTGAGCTTCCAGAAGTGTTTGGAAGCCTAAACCCAGGATAGAGAGGCTGAGTGAAGGTGGTCTGCTCTCTGTGGAGGAGGGTCATGGTGTCAGACACGCTGTAGTAAGAGAGAGAACCTGCTCTGTGATCCAGGTACACTCCTATTCTGGAGGACGGAGGGCCTGAGACGGGAGTAGAAACACATTGATGGTAGAATGTAGATTTACCATCACTGTTACACTTTAATGCCCAAGATTTGTTATTATATCCAAATACACATTCATTAGCTGTCCCAGTTCTGTTAATATCCTTGTATGCCACTGCTATAAAAGCTGTCCCGCTCCACTCCACCTCCCAGTAACAACGTCCAGTTAGACCCTCTGTACTCAGGACCTGACGATAATAAACAAATCTGTCTGGGTGAGCAGAATATGGCTGATCTACTTCCATTCGTGTTGCTTTCCTGTTCCCGTCACTCAATGATAACCGCCTGTATGCTGTATTTGGATCCAATGTGATTTGACGAGAATATCTCCTGAATCCAGCTCTGGTTCTGGGCTCTGCTTGGGTCATTAAAACATCCACTCCAGTCACTGCCAGAGAGATGTTTTCCCACTCCTCAGTCACAACAGCCTGCAGTTTATCTCTGGTCTCTGACACCGCCGCGGTCACGTCCTCAAAGAAGCGCAGAGGACAGATATCAATGCTGGGTAAGTCTTCAGACTCACTCAGACGTGACAGTGAGGGGTAGTTGTTTAGGAAATGCAGGTGGTCCTCGGTGTGAGACAGCTGCAGCAGCTCAGCGTCTGTCCTCCGCAGCTCAGTGATCTCCTGCTGCAGCTTCTCCTCAACATCTTGAGCTTGACTCACTTGGGTTTTCTGCTGGGATCTGATCTTCTGCTTCACCTCAGAGCTTCTTTTCTCAATGAGATGAATGAGCTCAGTGAAGATCTTCTCACTGTCCCTCACTGCTTCATCAGCAGAGCGATTGATAGCCTCCACCCTCTGTTGAAGCGCCTTGACGTCCTTCTCTCTGTCCTGGGCTCTCTGTTGGACTTCTCCCCGGCTCACCCCGAGCTCCTTCTGCCTGTCAGCCCTCTCTGCTGCAGCGGAGACGGTGTCATGGCCTTTGTGGTCATCCATGGAGCAGAGATAACAGATGCTCTGCTGATCAGTGCGGCAGAAAATCTTCATCACCTCGTCGTGGCGAGAGCAGATGTTCTCCTGAAGCTTTGAGGTGGCTTCAACCAACTTGTGTTTCTTTAATGGAGCTACATCAAAGTGAGGTTGGAGGTGTTGCTCACAGAAAGAGGCCATACACACCAGACAGGACTTGAAGGCTTTCAGCTTCACCCCGTAGCAGTAATCACAGACCACATCTCCAGGTGTTGCAATGGAAAGATCAGGTGAAGCATCTTGAAGCCCTATTTTCTTCAGTTCCTCCACTAACTCTGCAAGCAAGGTATTTTTCACCAGGGCAGGCCTCGGTTTGAAGCTCTGCCTGCACTGTGGGCAGCTGTAGGTTTTCTCCTCATTCTCCTTACCCCAGCAGTCTTTAATACAGCTCATGCAATAACTATGCCCACAGGGAATAGTCACCGGATCCTTTAGAATATCCAGACAGATCGAACAGCTCAGTTTTTCCCGACCCAGACTCACTTGCTGCGCCATTTCTCCTCTACGACAGTGAATGTCAGTAAGTTTTACTTTCTGTTTCCTGATGTTGAATCACTGATCTACAACGTATGGGATTTTCAGTACTTACACGTCACCACGTGGTGCTTACACCCATCTTTAAACTGTCAGATCTGTGAAAGGGGAGGAACAACGTCTGAGCTGTGTAGACTTTGAGCAGGAGGAGCCTCGCATGCAGTAAATGAAGTCCACAGTGTGTGGGGAGGCGAAGTCACGCCCATCTAATTCCGGTCTATTAAACACTTTTAAAACCTAAGCATTACAAAAAGTGAAAAGACTACAAGAAATCCCAGAATGCTCCTCGTTCTACTTTAAAAAACGTCCGAACTCGGACCGTTGGATTCAAATTTCTGACCGTTAGGAAGAATTTCTCCCCTTTATTAGTTGCCAAAATTGTTAAAAACAGTACACATATTTAAATTGATAACAAATCATAATATAAATGCATATATATATTTTTTTTAATCGTCAAATCTTTTTCTATCAGACCGGCAGTGGTGTTACACCGACTGTTGACGGTGTAACACCACACTGGAGAAGACGCTTGCATCCCTTCATTGTAAATTGTTTTTTAGCTCCATTTATTCTCCTTTAAATATCTTTAATTCATCGTAAATGAGTTGCAGCGGAGACAGCGATGATGACAGCAGTTGTAAGCGGAAGGTGGCTTATGTTTACAGCCCGGAATACATCCAGACTTGCGATAGTTTATCCAAAGTACCAAACAGGGTGAGTTACCTTGAAACGTTAGTTCACTGTGAGGCGTTTTACTCACTGGTTCTTTTCAATATTTCAATCTAATTCTCTGCTCATTTCCAGGCAAGTATGGTCCACTCACTGATAGAAGCCTACGGACTCCTTAAACACATGAGGTGAGTGAAGCTAATGTTGGTTTCTTAGTTTAACAGAGCTATTAAAACACATTTTAATAACAGAGAAATGGCATCACATAAGGTTGCTTTACAGACGAACAAGTATGTTTACCTAGGTGCTTCCTGTAGTGCTAACCTTTTAAAAGTACTCCTTAAAATCAAGTGGATGCTGATAAATAACTTTTAGTCAATGTCTTTGATTTACTATTTTGAAGCTGATCTTATTACTTATCTTTTTAGGTGGAGCTAACTCATTGTAAAACGACCTCAGTCTTTTAAGGATTAAACTTTGCTGCCCTAACCACAACCCTTACAACCACATACGAGTCTATTCATCCTCCCACTAAATATCATGGGTGTTTTTGGAAAGAAAAATGTAGAAGCTTCTATAAAATTACACAAAACCTATAGCTGTAATCCAAATACTTCTTAAATATTGAATGGCTGTCTTACTTTTGGCTTTTTTGTCACTGGATTTTTATTGACAAAGACTTCCTCTGCCACTGTGTGCTTATACAACACTAAAGCATGCACCACTCATATTCTTTTCTTTCCCTTCCCCGCAGCGTCGTTAAACCTCAGGTAGCGACCATCGAGGACATGGCCAAGTTCCACACAGACTCTTACCTGGAGCATCTTCACAAGATCAGCCAGGACGGAGACAACGACGACCCGCAGTCCGGAGACTACGGCCTGGGTGAGAAGAGCCACGAAGAGCCTTACACAATCCCATTTGTTATCAGAATCTGTTCATTCACTACAGACAGATTTATGGAAGCATTATGTGAAAAATAAAGGGTTTCAAGTGGAAACAAGTACTGCTATATGACTTTTTGAGAAGTGCTATGCAGTTCTGCTTTGTCGGCAACAGGGGGCACTATAACACAAGCTTCAAAAACAATAATAACAGCTTTATTAAAGGCCAAGACATCCATATATTGAATAGAAAAAGATGTCTATTTTCCCCACAATGTGTTCCTGTGAGTCAGATAAGATAAGATAGACCTTTATTAATCCCTGTGGGGAAATTCAGGAGTTTAAGCAGCAGCAACACTGGAGATTGAAAAACACAGATTCACACAAGATAGATCACACAAATTATTACAATTTAAAGATACAATTATATTCAGGTAAGTAACTGTTACAATAAGAAGTGAATGAAATGAACATATAAAGGCCCTGACACACCAGGCCGATTTCGGCTGTTCTCGTAAGTCGGGAGACGAAGCGTGTCCTGTCGCCCAAACTCAATTTGGTGTGTCCCGCACCGTCGACCGTGACACGCCTTATTTGGACTGCCAGACCCGATGCATGGCCGATTCAACATGTTGAATCGGCCATGCATCGGGTCTGGCAGTCGGACCAAACAATCACTCTGATTGGCTGTTCAGCTAGCGAATCAGTGCATGAGAAGCGAAACGGAAGTGAGGGACGTAAACAAACGATTTGAGAAGGCACACACAGACTGATATTCATTTTCATCTCATAATGGCGATCAGGAATGACGCAAACGAAGACCTGCTCATCACCTTGATCCAGGAGAGGCCAGCTCTGTACGACATCACAGAGAAAAGGTACTCGAACCGAGTAGTGAAAACCGGACTCTGGCGAGAGATTGAAACGCAACTTGGTTTCTCGGGTAAGATGATCTTTTTCATCAATTGAGCTCTTTAGCAGATATTGTTGGCTTTTTATTGTTTGCCAGCGTACAGTGACGTTAACGTGAAATGTAATTTGTTATTTCAACCTTGTGTTTTGTTGTTATCTTGTTGCTAGCTGTTGCTAGCTGTGCAGTTTGGCACTGCATATAGATATGAATTGGACATGCTAACTAGCCACAATGCTTACATCGTTTATTTGTGTGCTTCAGAGAAAGAGCTGAGGAAGAAGTGGATTCTCTGCGAACCCAGTGCACCCGGTACAGGAGACTTGCCCCTTCGGGTAGCTGTGGACCAAAGACGGGCAGACAGCAGTGGATCATAACCAGGCTGCAGTTTGCACACGCTATTTGTTGTTGTTTATATCACGCAGTCTGTTCTTCTTCTCTGTCTTCCGGTTGTTGCCTATTTTTAATGACGAATACACACTACCGCCGCCTGCTGGTAAGGAGAGTTATTGCCACTCACGCACTGAAGTCTTTGCGGTGTGTTCCCGTGCGACACATGGCCAAGACGCAGGAGAACACCGCGACGCAACAGTCGGCGTCGGCGAGTCCTCTGGTGACTGCTTGGTGTGTCAGGGCCTTAAGACGTCTTGGACTGTCACAGTATAAAATGCACGGTCACCATGTGTCACTGATTTCTGAGACACTTGATTTAAATGAAGCTCAGCGCAAGTTCTTTCAGGAAGACTGGGTATGTATCATTCACTCCGCAGCTGCATATTATCAGCTCATCACGGGCGTTGTCTATAACCCATTACATTCACCTCGTTCTCCAGCAGCCAATCACCGAGCTGCAGCCAAACTTTGAAATGGTTCTCCTCTCTCCTGCAGTCAGCTGTGACTTCAGGTTTTCATGCCGCGGCCCTCCTCCTCCTCATCCACCTCCTCTTCATCACATCTCCTCATCACATCCAGATCTTCAGCATCATCACCAGTGTCTCGACCCCGGGGGGTTCCCTATATGCTCACGGCTGCATTTCCCCCTTTAAGGTAGGGACACACCAAGCTGACGCCAAAGAACTCACACAGACTGCTGTGTCGCCTCAGATATACCACTTCAGGATCGGGGTCTAATCGCCAAAGACTTCACATTTATCATATGACATGTGTCAAGAAATGTTCTTTAAACAAAATGAAGTCTCTCCTGATTGAACTGTAAATGAGCAACACATCATTATGTGTTTCTTTACCAGGTCAAATGTCTGCGTTGAAAAAGGACTTCATCTCTCCTGCTCCATGTTTAAGGGGGCCTCTGTTCCTCAAGCTTCTGCACTTTAACGTTGCTTTTTAAAAACTGACACGTTATTGACATGTATATTCACATTAAGTGTGTAACTTGGGTTTTTCCTTTTGCACTTAAAAGCACCAAGTCTTTAAATCAACTTACAGAAAGTGTATTTAGTCAGCATTCAACAGCGTTAGCTCCCAGGAGGTGTTGCAGGTGGAGCAGGGGCTAGTTCCACTCATTCCTGTGGATCCATACAATCTTTGATCTCGGTACTTATTTTAATGTTCATTCATATTCCCAGAAATGTCTTCGGCTTTTGGGAAAGACAGTTCAAAAGATAACTGATGAACAACAACCTAAAGTAAAATAATCATAGCTGGAGAACCAAATCCTGGTGATCAAGTCGTTGTTGGATTTTTCATATGTTGTGTCAATGTGATTTGAATGAAGATGTCCTTACCCGTAACAGTCATTATTTATTCAACTTAGAACATGGAAAGAATCCCCAGGAGCATTTGTAATCTTATTAGGAAGACTGCTGAGAGATAAAATGTATTATTATTATTATATCTGAGAAGTGATCAGGACGAACAGAAAGAGCAAAACGAAAAGAGAGTTCACTGAAGAGACCAGGAGGGTCAGAGCAGGAGGAAGAGGAGGAGATGAAGAGACCAGGAGGGTCAGAGCCAGGCGCGCCGGATTCATTTTAGAAGTGGGGGGGGCAAAAAAAGTGCGTGTGTATGGCCCAATCCCAAACCACGCCCTACACCTACACACACACCCTCCGTGACGGAGTGAACTCCGTGGAGTGACACATGAGGCTCCCTCCTGTCAGATGGAGGGAGTAAATACAGCAGCAAGCTTTGGGACAAACTCCCCTCTCTCCGGCAGAAACAGGAAATGCGTAACTGTATGTAGGCCTAACAACGGTTTCAAATCAGCATCTCTTTGACAAAAAATGTAAATGAATAACTCAAATAAAACTCCAAACATCTTTGGTTACTTTTTTGTAAAGCTCTTTTAGTTTTAAACCTGATGTTTATAAGCTTCTTAGTTTTTGCAATAGTCTGTAACTTGTAACAACTTTATAATAAAATGCACATATTTACCTTTTTCTAGACTAAACACAGGTATGATCCTAAGTTAAAACATATGAGGTTATCATGAGGTTGTTAACATCGCAATTTATCACTATCGTTTAGTGGTTTTGCAAAGAATGAACCACTCTCTGTTTTTGTACCATTCTGCGTTGAAGTACCTTCTCTTTGCTCAAATAATCTACTAGCGGTCTCCTTTTTTCCGATAGTTAGCTGTACAGCTTTACCCGCCTCAATGTCCCAACAACAAACCTCCATGCAGTCGGAACCAGCCTGTTTCGGTTCAACGACGGCGGCGGTGGTTTTGACAGTTTCTGCGGCCGCAGAGCTGCTGCTTTTGGGTTCATCTGGCTTCGCTGGTTGTATGATTGATGAAGGTCCAGGCTCCGGAGATGTGGATGTCAGGGATGTGACCTTCCAGTTGTTACATTTAAGTTTAGATTGACTGTATTTGTGACCTGCTCCATCGAAATCAGTCGCATTGACCCGAAGACACATTTTGAGTTGTATACACGTTTGGAAAGAGGATATTCCGAGCTTTCTAATGATATCAGGATTGTTTTTGTACTCCAAATATTAAGCGAAATATGTCACATTATATCATGACTGTCACCGAGTCCTCATTTTGAGAAAAAGGCCTTAAAAGTTTCCTCTTCTCTGGATCGATCTGATTGATTATTAGCAAATGATCAAAATACTAGAGGGAAGATATTTTCATTTGGAATGGAAGCTCGCGAGTGTGTGTGTGTGTATACGTGTGTGTGTGTTTGTGTAATTTTGCGTTTGTGTGTATTGTGTTTGTTTCCCGGGAAAAACACTCACAAGAAACACCGGCTGTTGTTATGCCTGCTATGACGTTAAATTACTCCGTTCTCCGCTTGTAATTATGCCGAAGCTTCAAAGTTGTATTTATCATCTGAATTTGCCGAAATAAGTTTAATATTCTGAAAGCCAAGACTTTGTTTAATTAAAATCAGATGAAAACAAACTGTAACGGACCCTGCCGTGTTATCTATGATTACTATACTCTTACATTCATAATTTCAGCGGAGGGAGGGGGGCGACGCTGCTGGAAGAGCAGATTGCGAATGAGAGGTGCCTCTTCGTCCCTTTACAAGCTTCAAACATGTATTTATCGTGTGATTTTGGAAATAAAAGTTTCATATTCTGAAAGCCAAGACTTTGTTTGTTTAAAATCAAACACAACACCCGAACCCTGAACAAATAGTTTTTTACGTAAATCCACGTTTATTCTGAAATTAGCCGTTGCGACTTCCGACTGACTTCGATAGAGCGGGTCACATTTAGTTTTCTTCTGCGCTGGTTCTTCTGACATGTTTGCAAGTGTATATATTATTTCTAGGTTAACGGCTGACACACACAGAACAACGTAACAAATAAACAAATCTAAGCTTTTTTATTGGTTGTAATTTACATGGATACATTTGAATGGTGTGACAATGTCCTATTTGATTGGGTTAACATTTACATATTCTTCCTGTTATGTCTGCCTGCTTTATTTTACCTAATGCAAAGTGACCTGCTGCTCCATCGAAATCAGTCGCATTGATCCGAAGACATATTTTGATTCCTAGCTTTCTAATGATATGAGGATTGTTTTTGTACTCCAAATATTAAGCAAAATATGTCACATTATATAATGACTGTTACAGAGTCATCATTTTTGAGAAAAAGGCCTTTAAAATGTTCTCTTCTCTGGAATCCATCATTTCTCATCATCAATCATCATGATTGATTATTAGCAGAGCAAATGATCAAAATACTACGGAGGGAAGATATTTTCGTTTGGATTACTGCACTCACGAGAAACACCGGCTGTTGTTATGGCTGCTGTGACGTTAAACTACTCCGTTCTCCGCTTGTAATTATGCCGTCACAAGCTTCAAAGTTGTAGGCCTATTTATCATCTGAATTTGCCGAAACAAGTTTAATATTCTGAAACCCAAGACTTTGCTTATTTGAAATCAGATAAAAACAAACTGTAACCGACCCTGCCGTGTTATCTATGATTACTATACACCTTACATTCATAATTTCAGCGGGAGGGAGGGGGGGGGGCGGCGCTGAGGAACAGCAGAGTGGCGAGAGCTGTCATCTTCCCTTCACAAGCTTCAAACATGCCTGTAGCTAGTGAGATTGAATATAACAATCAAAAATAACAAAATATACACAGCTAGATCAGATCACGTTTTAGATGCGACTTTAGAGTAGAGGGGAATTATTGAAACGGGATTTGTACAGTTTTCCGCGGCACAGTTTCATGGAAACACATCAGCTTTTGGACGACAGTCAATATGGATTCAGGAAAGATAGATCAACATCTATGGCACTAATGGAATTAAGTGAGGAAAGAGCAAACTGCATGGACAATAAAAAACAAGCAGTGGGAATATTTATAGACTTACAAAAAGCATTTGACACCATCACAATATTTTACTGATGAAACTGGAACGGTATGGCATCAGAGGGGTGGGATTAAACTGGGTGAGAGATTATTTAAGCAACAGACAACAATTTGTTGAATTTGTTGAAAACATAAAACAAATCCACAGATACAATTAATACTAGATAACATACACATAGAAAGAGTATATGAAATGAAGTTCCTTGGTGTGGTTTTAGACCACAAAATCAGCTGGAAATCTCATATCACTCATGTAAAAGCAAAACTAAAACTATCGCAATATTGGGAAAAGCCAGATACATTCTGGACTACAACTCATTGCATACTCTATATAACACACTAATATTGCCATATCTGATTTACTGTGTGGAGATTTGGGGAAACACGTACAAAACCAACCTACAGCCGTTATGCACATTACACAAAAGGGCTATAAGAGTTATCAATAATGTTGGATATCTTGAACACACTAATGTATTATTTTTGAAGTCACACATATTGAAGTTCATTGATCTGGTTAAATTTAAAACGGCACAAATCATGTACAGAGCCAGACATAATCTACTTCCTAGGAAAATAAAAACACTGTTCGTAGACAGAGAGGGTGGGTATCATCTGAGAGGAAATCTACATTTTAAACTCAAGGTCAGAACAACTCTGAGAAGTATGAGTTTAACAATCTGTGGGGTGATTTTATGGAATGGTTTGGAGCAGGAGTTAAAACAAAGCACAAGCATAATTCAGTTTAAAAGGATGCACAGAAACACTTTTTTGGAAAAATATGAGAATGAAGAAAGGTGATTGAAGATGAAATGATTGTATATGTATAAATGTAAATGTATGTAGGAATAACTTGCATAATGATTTAAAGGACAATCATTGATCAAGTAAGGGGTGGGAATTAATAAGCATTTGCTTCCTCCTGCTCCTTTCGGACACATATGATTTATTATTATTAATATGAAGACTTTTTTTGTTTTTTTTGTTGAATATACAAATATTACCATGAATGTGGATAAATACTGTATTATAACAATACGGTATTCTGTTTTTCACATTTGTTATTTGTTATTTTTGAATCTGTTCGAAATAAAGACTGAAAAGAAAAAAAAAATCTGCTGCTGCGAAAATGTGGGGCAGGGCTGAAAAGTGGGGGGGCCAATGGCCCCCCCCCGCAGGAGGAAGAGGAGGAGATGAAGAGACCAGGAGGGTCAGAGCAGGAGGAAGAGGAGGAGATGAAGAGACCAGGAGGGTCAGAGCAGGAGGAAGAGGAGGAGATGAAGAGACCAGGAGGGTCAGAGCAGGAGGAAGAGGAGGAGATGAAGAGACCAGGAGGGTCCGAGCAGGAGGAAGAGGAGGAGATGAAGAGACCAGGAGGGTCAGAGCAGGAGGAAGAGGAGGAGATGAAGAGACCAGGAGGGTCAGAGCAGGAGGAAGAGGAGGAGATGAAGACATTAGTGAAGAAGAAGAAATGTATGTGAGGAATAAAGATGAAGTATCAGAGAGAGGGCCAGAGGCAGGGATCAGGAGGCAGAGGAGACTCCAGCTGGACCACATGGTATGTTCTTATTCTCCTTACATATTCCATTACAGCAGCTCAATCTAGCAGCTCTTAGTATTGACACATATTGATTGAAATGTGTTGCTGCACAGGTCACCTGTAGCTCTCTGAAGAGATGGGTGATGTCATTTGTGTACTTAATTATAATTAAGTACTTACAGTATGCAGAATTCTGAGTATTCTCTGAATCGGGTGCCTTTTGGGTCTTTATATCCTTGAAAAATGACACCAAATTGTTTGGTCATAACATCTGGTAGTTGACTACTTACATGTTCCCACCTCAGGCTCAACATATAAATAATTACTAGGAATTTCCTTGAAAAAATGTAACAGGGTTGAAGTTTTTGACAAAAAGTAGGCATGAGCCCTTGTTTAGCTAAGATATGGCACCACATGGAAATCAAGGACATTACAACATTGTAATATTTTGCAAAACTATTGTTTATTTTGTAATAAACAATTATTTATTATGAATTCATATAACAGAATTAAAGTCATACATCAAACTTGTACATCGTTACAGATATTTAAGAATAATATAAAAGCTCAAAAGTGCATAAGTGTGTGCTGTCAAATGTAACCAGGAAGTAAAGTGAATTCAAAACAGAAGGAAACAGCCTTTCTCCAACTTGTAAAGCACATTTAGAGGTTTGACACAAGCATAATCCAGATCCAGCATTAGATGATTAGTGATTCATAAAACAAGGAGAAAGTATTGTGTCGATGTGAATTAAATGTGGTTACTACAACTCAGCCATTTCTTTTTTGTCTTGTCATTTCAATTTCAGTTTATTTGATTTGATCTATGTTTCTGATCTAGGTTTGTAAATGAATACAAAATAAAAACACTGTTTTTAGCGTCCTCTAGCGAAAAGCAAGGACGTCATATATTTGCCTGCATTTTATAAACATACTTTAAACTTTAATAAACCTTATCAACCAAAGTCAATTGGAAACGAATGGTCGTGCCAAGCCTCGGCTCTGAAAGGATCGCTTTCTCTCATGTCAGGTTTTGTTATTTTTGTTGGCTTCAGTTTTTATTAAGTCCTCTTTTTGTTACGCTAGTTTTTCCTCCTTGTGAGCGCCTTTTGTTATTTCCACCACCTGCTCTGTTCAGAGGGATTACCTGACCTGTGGGAATAAATATACTTTTTTTATATTCAAGACTTTGTCTCTGTCGTGCGTTTGTGTTCATCAGTTTGTGTCGAGGTCCTGACATCATGCAAAGTACTTTGTTCTTTCTGACCGACATTTGAACTGAACTGACATGTTGGATATGGACCAATGAGGACAACACAAAAGGGACACGGATGTTCATGGAAGTTGGTTTACCTAAAGACTCAATAATATGCCTAATTTATACTAATCCCTGTCATTAAGCTGTAAGTTAAATCAGTGCACACAAATGCATACTTTGTGATTTCCTTTATTATTTTTGGAGTGATGTTCTCTTGTCACTGTCTTCAGCAATAAAGCAACACATGGTATGTTCTCTATGACTTCCCAAACTTTAACTCACCTATCGAGTGTTTTTGAGACGATGTGAAGCCTGGAAAGCTTTCTATCATTCCTATTTTATTCCTGCTTGATTGTTGTGGAATAACTCAGAAAATCACACACTTTGAAATATTGTCTTGAAATGTTTTCCTTTGCAAAAGAACCAGCATTTCACAAATAGGGTTGATTTCTCTACCTGTATATTTGTGTTACCAAAATATCTTAAAAACTCAATGATTGAAACTCAGTGAAAAAACAGACAAAAGTAATGTTTTAAATAATAGAAGTTTGCTGATAAAATGGTGACGACTCATCGATTTATTCATTTATTTGAACAGATTTGAACAGATACTTTTTATATTCCTAAAACGTGTTACAATGTAGAGACAGATGAATTTACCCTTGAAAAGATGATCAGCAAGCTATTTTTCACAAGTTTACATTTAAACTGTTCTCTTGCTTTTGCGCTCATATTAACAAAATAGAAGGGATTTGTATTATCAGAACTAGAGCACATAGAATGCAGTACAGACACCATTATGTGTCACACTAAATTATATGTTACATGTTATAAAGAATCCAAATACATTCGTCCTACATTTTTACATAATTACAGCCGTTTATATAAAATTAGACATTTTGTAAATGTTGGACTTTTCCAAACATTATGTCATGAAAATGTTGATAAAATATAACGTACAAATCACAACTTCAACAAACAAGATTGTTTTATCTAAATTAAAATAGAAATACAGACAAAAAATCAAACGGGGAAAATCCCAGTCCCAGCCGCGTTAGAGTCCGGACATATTGTAGTTGCTCTATTTAAACTTCCGCCTACTTCAGCTCACACAACTCCGCTGAGCTTCCAGAAGTGTTTAGAAGCAAAAACCCAGGATAGAGAGGCTGAGTGAAGGTGGTCTGCTCTCTGTGGAGGAGGGTCATGGTGTCAGACACGCTGTAGTAAGAGAGAGAACCTGCTCTGTGATCCAGGTACACTCCTATTCTGGAGGACGGAGGGCCTGAGACGGGAGTAGAAATACGTTGATGGTAGAATGTATATTTACCATCACTGTTACAATATAATGCCCAAGATTTGTTATTATATCCAAATACACATTCATCAAGTGTCCCAGTTCTGCTAATATCCTTGTATGCCACTGCTATAAAAGCTGTCCCGCTCCACTCCACCTCCCAGTAACAACGTCCAGTTAGACCCTCTGTACTCAGGACCTGCAGATAATCAACAAATCTGTCTGGGTGAGCAGAATATGGCTGATCTACTTCCATTCGTGTTGCTTTCCTGTTCCCGTCACTCAATGATAACTGCCTGTATGCTGTATTTGGATCCAATGTGATTTGACGAGAATATCTCCTGAATCCAGCTCTGGTTCTGGGCTCTGCTTGGGTCATTAAAACATCCACTCCAGTCACTGCCAGAGAGATGTTTTCCCACTCCTCAGTCACAACAGCCTGCAGTTTATCTCTGGTCTCTGACACCGCCGCGGTCACGTCCTCAAAGAAGCGCAGAGGACAGATATCAATGCTGGGTAAGTCTTCAGACTCACTCAGACGTGACAGTGAGGGGTAGTTGTTTAGGAAATGCAGGTGGTCCTCGGTGTGAGACAGCTGCAGCAGCTCAGCGTCTGTCCTCCGCAGCTCAGTGATCTCCTGCTGCAGCTTCTCCTCAACATCTTGAGTTTGACTCACTTGGGTTTTCTGCTGGGATCTGATCTTCTGCTTCACCTCAGAGCTTCTTTTCTCAATGAGATGAATGAGCTCAGTGAAGATCTTCTCACTGTCCCTCACTGCTTCATCAGCAGAGCGATTGATAGCCTCCACCCTCTGTTGAAGCGCCTTGACGTCCTTCTCTCTGTCCTGGGCTCTCTGTTGGACTTCTCCCCGGCTCACCCCGAGCTCCTTCTGCCTGTCAGCCCTCTCTGCTGCAGCGGAGACGGTGTCATGGCCTTTGTGGTCATCCATGGAGCAGAGATAACAGATGCTCTGCTGATCAGTGCGGCAGAAAATCTTCATCACCTCGTCGTGGCGAGAGCAGATGTTCTCCTGAAGCTTTGAGGTGGCTTCAACCAACTTGTGTTTCTTTAATGGAGCTACATCAAAGTGAGGTTGGAGGTGTTGCTCACAGAAAGAGGCCATACACACCAGACAGGACTTGAAGGCTTTCAGCTTCACCCCGTAGCAGCAATCACAGACCACATCTCCAGGTGTTGCAATGGAAAGATCAGGTGAAGCATCTTGAAGCCCTATTTTCTTCAGTTCCTCCACTAACTCTGCAAGCAAGGTATTTTTCACCAGGGCAGGCCTCGGTTTGAAGCTCTGCCTGCACTGTGGGCAGCTGTAGGTTTTCTCCTCATTCTCCTTACCCCAGCAGTCTTTAATACAGCTCATGCAATAACTATGCCCACAGGGAATAGTTACCGGATCCTTTAGAATATCCAGACAGATCGAACAGCTCAGTTTTTCCCGACCCAGACTCACTTGCTGCGCCATTTCTCCTCTACGACAGTGAATGTCAGTAAGTTTTACTTTCTGTTTCCTGATGTTGAATCACTGATCTACAACGTATGGGATTTTCAGTACTTACACGTCACCACGTGGTGCTTACACCCATCTTTAAACTGTCAGATCTGTGAAAGGGGAGGAACAACGTCTGAGCTGTGTAGACTTTGAGCAGGAGGAGCCTCGCATAGCCAGTAAATGAAGTCCACAGTGTGTGGGGAGGCGAAGTAACGCCAATCTAATTCCGGTCTATTAAACACTTTTAAAACCTAAGCATTACAAAAAGTGAAAAGACTACAAGAAATCCCAGAATGCTCCTCGTTCTACTTTAAAAAACGTCCGAACTCGGACCGTTGGATTCAAATTTCTGACCGTTAGGAAGAATTTCTCCCCTTTATTTGTTGCCAAAATTGTTAAAAACAGTACACATATTTAAATTGATAACAAATCATAATATAAATGCATATATATATATTTTTTAATCGTCAAATCTTTTTCTATCAGACCGGCAGTGGTGTTACACCGACTGTTGACGGTGTAACACCACACTGGAGAAGACGCTTGCATCCCTTCATTGTAAATTGTTTTTTAGCTCCATTTATTCTCCTTTGAATATCTTTAATTCATCGTAAATGAGTTGCAGCGGAGACAGCGATGATGACAGCAGTTGTAAGCGGAAGGTGGCTTATGTTTACAGCCCGGAATACATCCAGACTTGCGATAGTTTATCCAAAGTACCAAACAGGGTGAGTTACCTTGAAACGTTAGTTCACTGTGAGGCGTTTTACTCACTGGTTCTTTTCAATATTTCAATCTAATTCTCTGCTCATTTCCAGGCAAGTATGGTCCACTCACTGATAGAAGCCTACGGACTCCTTAAACACATGAGGTGAGTGAAGCTAATGTTGGTTTCTTAGTTTAACAGAGCTATTAAAACACATTTTAATAACAGAAATAGCATCACATAAGGTTGCTTTACAGACGAACAAGTATGTTTACCTAGGTGCTTCCTGTAGTGCTAACCTTTTAAAAGTACTCCTTAAAATCAAGTGGATGCTGATAAATAACTTTTAGTCAATGTCTTTGATTTACTATTTTGAAGCTGATCTTATTACTTCTTTTTAGGTGGAGCTAACTCATTGTAAAACGACCTCAGTCTTTTAAGGATTAAACTTTGCTGCCCTAACCACAACCCTTACAACCACATACGAGTCTATTCATCCTCCCACTAAATATCATGGGTGTTTTTGGAAAGAAAAATGTAGAAGCTTCTATAAAATTACACAAAACCTATAGCTGTAATCCAAATACTTCTTAAATATTGAATGGCTGTCTTACTTTTGGCTTTTTTGTCACTGGATTTTTATTGACAAAGACTTCCTCTGCCACTGTGTGCTTATACAACACTAAAGCATGCACCACTCATATTCTTTTCTTTCCCTTCCCCGCAGCGTCGTTAAACCTCAGGTAGCGACCATCGAGGACATGGCCAAGTTCCACACAGACTCTTACCTGGAGCATCTTCAGAAGATCAGCCAGGACGGAGACAACGACGACCCGCAGTCCGGAGACTACGGCCTGGGTGAGAAGAGCCACGAAGAGCCTTACACAATCCCATTTGTTATCAGAATCTGTTCATTCACTACAGACAGATTTATGGAAGCATTATGTGAAAAATAAAGGGTTTCAAGTGGAAACAAGTACTGCTATATGACTTTTTGAGAAGCGCTATGCAGTTCTGCTTTGTCGGCCACAGGGGGCACTATAACACAAGCTTCAAAAACAATAATAACAGCTTTATAAAGGGTAACTTTTCTTCTCAGTGCCTTAAACTAAAGTATAATCTTCATAGCAACTAACTGTCCTTTCACATTGTTTTTCTACTTTGCTTGAGATTGCAATACAGATAAAACACACCCTCACCTCAACTAACCTTTAATCGGGTTGGAATTATTTCAAAATCCCACCATGGTTTGTTGTTCTTGGAGCAGCCCATGCTTCTCTCAAGTTTACTTTTCTAACTCAGACCAATCCTCAAGTTCACCCTCCTTGTTTTCCTTTCCTTGACTCGTTCCCTAGCTGTCTCCCTCCTATTCGCCCCCATCCCTCATGGCTCCTCTTGATGTCCTCGACTGGTCCCTCGGTCGCTTCCTCCTTTTGTTTCTGCGCACCTCTCCCAGGTTCATCCTTCCGCCTTGATTGAGAAATGTCTCTCTGTCATTTATTTTACATCAGTCTTTTGTTTCCATCCATAATGTTGACTTACCTCCCTCATTTCTGTCTCCCTCCTTTCCTATTATCTCACCCATGTCTGTTTTATCTAATTTCTCATTCTCCTCTGTTTCCCATTTCTCCATCTAACTGTACTTCCTTATTATTTTAATTCCCAGCCCTTCAAAAAGATAAATCAACTGAAGATCTAGAAACAAATACATATATTTATTTATTGTTTATTACATTGTGACTGCTCTAATGAATACTAACTGAATTGCATATTTTGATCATAAAAACCTGATTTCTGTTGCAAAACACTGCTAAAAATGACATATAATAAAACTCAAAAGAAAAAGCAATAAAAGACACAAATAAATAAAAGGAAACAGGAGGGAAACAGAAGAAGTGATTTACATTTAAAAACCTGTCTTTTTTAAAGGATAAAAATGATCTTGTTGCCAAATTACTCCAGCAATTATCTTTTAAGTCAACATGTCAATGTATCCTCGGGCAAGATACTTAACCCTGAGTTGCTCCCGATGGCCAACGGTGTGTGAATGTTAGGTCCTAGAGTAAGGTACACTGCTCTGTATGAATGGGTGAATGACATGTAGTATGTAAAGCGCTTTGAGGGGTCGTAGAGACTGGAGAAAGCGCTATATAAGTACAGTCCATTTACCATTTAACTTTTGTTCATGTGTTTCTCTCTGTCCAGGTTACGACTGTCCCGTGGTGGAGGGGATTTATGACTACGCGGCAGCAGTAGGGGGCGCTACACTGACAGCAGCTCAGTGTCTGATGGACCAAAAGTGTGAAGTGTCTGTAAACTGGGCAGGAGGCTGGCACCACGCCAAGAAGTAAGTCTTCAGACAGGAAATATATGGACATTACTACATACAAGAGTCCTCATCAGTTCCTGTTACAGCCTGATGATGTCATGGTAACGTTCTGATGATGTCATGTTACAGCCTGAGGGGGGCGCTGCAGGAAAAGACTCTCAAAGCTCACAGGTTTATTTATTTCCCCCTCTGTCTCTCCAGGGATGAGGCGTCAGGTTTCTGTTACGTGAACGACGCTGTGCTGGGAATCCTCAAACTGAGGGAGAAGTACGAGAGGGTTCTGTATGTGGACGTGGATCTGCATCATGGAGACGGTACGCACTCTAACAACAAAGCAGAACTTAAATCGGTTTATGTATCATATTCATGATCAGGCAGAAATTCAGTGACACAAGTTCCCCTTTCTGAGAAACCTACAGCGATACCAGGTGAAGGTGAACAGGTTGAATCATATTATTATAACTTCAGCACCAGCAGCCAAACCTTTTGAACGGAGCAATGGAGCATTCATATCGTATTAAAGCTAATACACAACTGTTTGTGTTGTACATGTTATACAATGTGCACGTTTTAACAACTTAGGTTTAAATGGAGTATTCTGATTCTAACTAGGGATGCCAGCGATCATTCGATTTCTCATATTCGTTACATTCTCTATAATCGAAAATTATTTTTAAAAATCGATTTTATTTATATATATTTTTATTATTATTTATGTTTTTTTTCTGGCTTAGTTTCAACCAAAATATAGACTAATGCTAATAATAGTAATAGTATTAATAATTGTAAATGGCCATTGGTCTCACCACCAGTTTGTTTTACTGTAAACTTGGAGGAAGCCAGCAGCGCAGAGTGGGCGGCGAATAATCGATTAATATTCGCCAGGGCTGTCCGATTTTTCGAATTTGATCATGGTCAGTTTCTGGCATCCCTAATTCTAACTCTGATAAAGTACCCAGATATTACACATTTTCTGTCATTAATTATTCCCTCTCCTCTCTCTCAGGTGTGGAAGACGCCTTCAGCTTCACATCCAAAGTCATGACCATCTCGTTTCACAAGTTCTCCCCCGGCTTCTTCCCAGGTCCTTCCCCACAGACACTCACAATACATTTTAATAAGATAACCTGCATTGTGAGACAGTGTAAGATAAGTGTGTGTGTGTGTGTGTAGGTACGGGGGACCTGTGTGACACGGGGCTGGGTAAAGGACGATGGTACGCCGTGAACGTCCCGCTGGAGGACGGCATCAAGGACGACAGATACTACCAGATTTTTACCAGGTACACACACACACACACACACACACACACACACACACACACACACACACACACACACAAACAAAGATACGATATACTTTATTGTCCCCGTAAGGAAATTTGTTCTGGTCTCCGTGCTGCAGTTCCGCGTACATGTACATATACAAACATAGTGGACATTAAGAGACATACACATATACAGTCATACACCGTTTGAACAAACACAATACACAGCACATACACGCACATACTGACAATGGCGACCTATTGCACTACCCCTCATGGCCAACATTTAAGAAGTACATTTCATTACATTTGACTACATTTCATTTCAGGTGAATGTTAAGAAGCTTAGTGGACATAGGCAGGAATGAGTGCTTATAGCGGTTCAGCCTGCTCTTGGGAACCCTGATGCCCCGGCCACACGAGGACGAAAACGGTCGTTTGCGTTACTGTTTAGTGTCATATAGACCGTTCGGCCACACGAGGACGACCGCATACGGCACTAAACGACTGCGGAAACGATAACGGGTCCCAAGGTGGATAGAACGGCATACGCAACGCTCTGGGGGGTCCAACGGCTCCGTGTGTACGCCCTATACCAGGGGTGGCCAACCCGCGGCTCTCGAGCCGCATGTGGCTCTTTGCCTAGTTTCATGCGGCTCTTCAGTTCATATCGAATTGTATATGTGTGAGTTTGGGGGAGAGACACTGACTCCTGACTAGTGTTGCACGGTGTACCGATACTTGAAAGGTACCGCGATACCCTGCCGTTAAAAATGTTACGATTCCTCCGTTTCATTAGTATCGGTACTTTAAGAATGACGGGGGAAAGTACTCCGGTGAGAAAGCGCCGTTTTAATAAGAGCCGTGTGTGTTCAACGCTCTGCTTCCACTCCCTGCACTGCAGCCGTGCCTGCAGTCCCGCCCCTCTCAAGCACGCTCTAAGTCCCTCCCCTCTCAAGCACGCTCTAAGTCCCTCCCCTCTCAAGCACGCTCTAAGTCCCTCCCCTCTCTCGTGCACGCGCTAGCTGCCAGAGCATGTGAGAAAACAAGAAGCATGGCTGCAAGTGGGAGTGCAACTGCCGCTGCGCCTCGGCTTGTTGACAAAAAAGACGCCAGAAGCGAAATTTGGAAGTATTTGAGCGATATCTCTGACAGTGAGGGCAAGCCTACGGACACCACGAGGCCTGTCTGTGAGAAATGTATTAATTTGATTTAATAGGAAATCTTGTCATTTATTTTATTTATTGTTCTCATTGTTTAAAAGTGTGTGTTATGGTTATGGTTCTGGTGTGAAATAAAGCACAATAATTACATTTAAGACTGTTTTTTAAGAAAAGTATCGAAAAATAATCGGAATCGCAATTCTTGACTTGGTATCGAAACCAAAATGTTGGTATCGTGACAACACTAGCTACTCCTGACAGTTAAACCTGATATGTAGTAGGTCTGTTAAGTATTAACGTCATTTGGCCGGTCAAAGTTGTTTGGGCTCGGATAAAATCGCTCCGTTACTTTCGTCCCGTGTTACTTTCGTCCCGGCTCCCGGTGTGTATGTGTGGTGTCAGGTGCCTATGAGAGGATGACAGCGTGTCTCATTGTGATGTGGCCCAAGAGCCAATCACAATAATACCTGTGATGCAGTGAACCAATCACCTTTGAGGGGGGGAAACCTATCGTTGATTAAACACTATCCAGTGTTTCCCCTACCATTGTTTTGGAGGGGCGCTGCCCCCCGCCAACGGAGCCCCGCGCCCCCCCTGAAATTCAAGGTGTTTAAAAAATATATATAATTTTTTTTTTTAAATATATATAGCACCAAATTACAAATAATCTATAACTACTGTCACTTTTCACATTGAACATGTGCTCTTTTATTAAATAAACTAAACGCTTTCATTTCAAGTTGTGAGTTTAGTGTTTTTGACCCTAAGAAACACTGATGCATTAATCAATAACAATAATCCACAGCTCCTCTCTCTGCTCCAGAGGATTTAAAAAATATATATCCCAATGCCACAAAAATGCATCAGTGACGTGGTTGAAATCTTGTCTCCAGAAAACTAAAAAATGGAAACAAGCGGTATCAGTGACTGTGTGTTTGATGTGGCTCTTTGCAGTAACATAGAAACAATGTGGCTCTTAACCTCTGACTGGTTGGCCACCCCTGCCCTATACGATCATTTTCTGATAATGATGAGGCAATAGCCCCGCCTCTCCCCACCTCTGCTGCTCACCCCCTCGTCAAAGTAAACTGCACACTGAATTCAGATTATTTATCTTTCTCTCGATATGGACATAAACGCGAGTGAAGTCTAATCTGACAGGACGGAGACACCTCTCAAACTACCTAGTTATAAATATGTTTATTTTTACTGTCGGCCGGGTCACTCATTACTGGATCAGCTGCTGCATGAGACAGACACTGGCGCTGTCCGAAGAGAGGGAGGAAAAAGAGAGGCTCCGTGTATTTTATTATTATAATATATAGATTATTATTCATTTGTTTTAAAGCTCAATAAATAACAAAGAAGACCTTTGACCGGCACTTTTATAATTTTGTCGGAAGATTTAAACTTTAATACACGTTGACTGGCGAAAACTCTGCCCGGTTCCCTCGGCCCCCACCGCGGAGAATAAACAGAAGGGCAACCATGACAACCATGCTTCTTCGCTGCTTTTGTGGAGGAAGTTACAGCGCCACGTACAGGCTCCTGCTATGTACTGCAGCTTCTCCAGCGGTTGGAGCTAAACGGAGCGGTCTCGTGTGGACAGACACTATCCGGTGAATATTGGGTGTGGACGGAAGCTTTTTTGCGTTTGCGTTAATCCTATGCGTTTAGCCGTTTTCGTCCTCGTGTGGCCGGGGCATGAATCTTCTACCAGAAGGTAGGAGCTGGAATCCTGGGTGGAGTATGTGGGTGGGATCAGACACCATTTTGTTTGCCTGTCTGATAATGGACTGCTCGTATATGTTTTGGAGAGATGGGTGTTTTTTAACCCCCATAATTTTCCTAGCAGTCTGTACCAGGCGAGCGATCTGTGACTTTGACTGCACTGTCAAGTTACCGTACCAGGCAGTAATAGCATACCTAATGATGCTCTCCAATACTGCGTGATAGAACAGTAACATGAATTTCTGGTCGACTCCGAAAGCCCGGAGTCGACGCCGAAAGTACAATCGCTGTTGAAGTCTAGAGCACAGACCTTGAACATGCACCTTCCAACTGAGTGTATTATCTAGATGCACACCAAGGTACTTATAGGAGCTGACCTGAGTTATGGGTTCATTGTGGATAACCACCGGCCTAAGGTCACCCACTGCCTTTGGGTCCCACACCATCTCCTCAGTCTTCTTCACATTCAGCACTAGATGGCTAGAATCACACCACTGCACAAACCTCTCATTCAGAGTGATAAGCCGATGAACTGCTGCCTTTGTGCATTAAGCCAAGGATGGCTGTATCATCTGAACATTTGATGATATAATTATCCGGGCGGATTCTCGTACAGTCGTTTGTGTACAGTGTGAAGAGGACCGGGGAGCTCACACAACCCTGGGGGGCTCCTGTACTGGTCCGGGGCTCTGAGAGGGCATTGTTGACCCTGACATGCTGAGTGCGATTGGTTAAAAAAGAAAAATACCATTTCAAGATAAAAGGATTTATACTGATCTTTATCAGTTTTTGAAGCAAGATGTGAGGCTGCAGTGTGTTAAAAGCCGAGCTGAAATGCACACACACACACACACACACACACACACACACACACACACACACACACACAGAGTAAAGTATTAGGAATTCCCCCGTGCAGATCAGAAACAAATATAAAAGCACGTCTCCTCAAGGATCCCTTCAGAGTACTCCTATGTTCCCCACCCAGAGGTCAAAGGTCACGGCCAACGTATCAAGGACACTTCAGCAGGGGGATTTCTTCCTTAATCTAACTGAGGAATCATGGGATTTTGAAAAATGTAACTTCTCAATGCGGGAAAGAATGTGTTTTAGGAAAGTGAAGGATTATTTTAGCTAGTGGTTATTTCTGGCTGTCCCGAATACCATTTTTCGGGCTCGGGATATTCGGTAGTAATCAGCAGCGAATATTCGGCCCGCATGGGGGGGGTGCGTAGTAACACACACACAGACACACACACGGACACAGACACATACATATACACATGGACACACACACGAGAACAAGTAGGTGTTTAAACTCTGAAATGAGTCACTGGTTCCCGACATGTTTACCTCTCTGTCGTTCCCCAGCGTGATGCAGGAAGCGCGGGCGCAGTTCAACCCGGAGGCCATGGTCATGCAGCTGGGGGCCGACACCATGGCGGGGGACCCCATGTGTTCCTTCAACATGACCCCAGTGGGGGTGGGCAAGTGTCTGCAGCACGTCCTGCAGTGGCAGCTACCCACGCTGCTGCTGGGAGGAGGTACAACGCGTTTATTATCCTCACTGCTGCTGTGGGTTTTTGTCAGAATTGGAATCCGAAATACCTTTATTGGACCCACAAAGGGGAAACTTACAGTGTTGGAGAGAAACACACACACACACACACACACACACACACACACACACACACACACACACACACACCATGCTCTGTTCCAGGCCCTTCAGCCCTCGGCCAGATGATAGCTACTTTAGCTCTGACACAATGAAGCCATTTTCCTCAACTACAATCCCACCTCTCTTCCTCGCTCTGTGTCCTACATACTTTCCCTCCGTTATATCCTCCTCTCCTTCTTGTCATTCTCTTGATTTCACTCCAAAGCCATCCTCTCTTCATCCTTCACTTTGTGTGTGTGTGAGAGAAAGAGAGCGATGGAAACTTTTCTGACTTAATAATGTGTTTTGTGAGCTTGTGGTTCTTTTGGCTGTAAATCACTAGTTTTTACACAATACAATATTAAATTGATAAGGTATTCTGTCTCCCACGGTAACATTTAGAATCACTTGAAATCAGGGACTTGTTATTGATATTAGACGATATTGAGACGATGTCATATGCCCATTAAACACCATCAGTCACATTGATATAAACTCCTAAAAATCTACTTAAATCCACATACACTTTTATAACTGGACTCTTACTAACATTGACATGAAAAAACGTATATTATTTAGGAATTTCAAAAATAAGGACATGTCTTGAAGGTGATGTTTTGTTGTTAGCATCATGGGTTGTTGAATCGATATATCAATCCAAATCAATGGACAGTATCAACCCTATTATCGACTTGATTATCATAAGACTAGATCGATTTGAAATAAGTGTTTCAGGATCCTTTTTGCATGACTTATGTGCCTCTCCAGGAGGTTATAACCTGGCTAACACGGCCCGATGTTGGACCTACCTGACGGCCGCCGTGCTGGGAAAGACTCTCTCCTCCGAGATACCGGACCACGAGGTACGACAACACACACACACACAGTCACACATATTCCCACATGAGCACAATCACGCTCATTCATCGTACTGTCGCACAGAAGCCAACACACACACACGCATAAAAACCCCCACAAACACACCCTCTTGTGTTCACTGTCTGCTGAGTCACTCCAGCTAATCAAAGATGGCCGCCTGCTTCTCAATAAAGGGGTTTGTCTGCAGGTGACTCAGACGCAGTGTGTGTGAGGCAGAGAGAGAGAGAAGGGTTCGAGTGTTGACAGTTCCTCTCCGTCTGCCTCATCAAACAGCCTCTCCATCTCCTCTGGCATCAAGGGGGACTTTTATTGTGCCGTCGTTAAAGGGGAAATCTACACTTCAATTCACAATGTTGTTCATAAGAAGTACTCGGATCCTTTACTTGAATAAAAGTTGAGATACTTTATTCGGAAAATACTCTATTGCAAAGTAAAACTCCTAAAATCTAAATGTAACTTCTGTAAAAGTACAAAAGTAGTAGCATTGAGATATACTTCAAGTTTCAAAAGTACTCCCATTTCAGAATCATATCAATTAAACCCCTGGATTCTTGTTGTAGGTGGAGTTCATTTTAATGACTGTATATCCTCCTGGGACCCGAGGAAAAAAAGTGTCTTCCAATTTCCTTTTTTGTGTGATTTCCTACCTATTTAGGGTTAAAAAAACATCTTGCAATTTAGACCTTTTTAATTTTATTTTAAAATGTTACAGTATGTCCACTGTAGAGGACGTCGGGACCATTTCAGTTTGAAAAGACAGCCAAAATGAACAGACCGACTATGTAACGTATTATGGTTATAGAGTGATATTAATACAACAATACATTCACCTTTATTTAAAACATGAATAAGTAATTGATCTGAACATTGCTGTTTATTTGGCCACTAAAAAACTAGTTTGGTTTTTGGTGAATCTTTCCAGATCTTCAGAGACTTTGTAGTCGATGTAGTGGGAAAGTACCTCCAGTCGGCACGGGCTGTGGGTCATCTTGACTAGTTTTATGGATCTCCATTTGACCTGCTCATAGAAACAAAGCTCGCATTCCTGAGGCAGCTCTCATTTGTCTTGGCTCCACTTAAATAAAAACAACAATAAGACATACGTGCTACTCTTGGCCCACAGGGGGCCATGTCTTTCCAGCTCGTCCCTATCTGTCTCTCTGTCTGTATCTGTGCGCTCATGGAGCCTCCTGCATCTCCCCCCCCCCCCTCTTCTATCCCAGGTGTGAAAGCCTCATCTCTCTCAACATCTGAATCTCCCTGAACTATTCTGTTTAATGATGTACTTGTCAATGTTGCGCCAATTTTAGAAAATAAAATACTGGGTATATTATTAATTCAGTACTTCATCATATAGGACAAATGTCATGTGTTTTCATATGTAAAAAGTAGCTAGTAGCTATGAGTTTTGAATACATTTAGTGGATGAAAGTAGAATATTTACTCAATTTAAGTATGTCAAATACTAGTACTTAAGTAAATACACTTAGTTACTTTCCACGAGTGCCATTAACAACATTTAGACCGCCGCTGATTGGACCAATCACGTCGCAGTAAACCATAAACACTTTAAATTGAGCTTAATGTTGTTATTCCCTGTAATAAGGTCGTATAGTGAACGTAAACAAATGAACCGACTGAGATGTGAGTGGAAACTCTCGGGTTTAGCTTCTCAAGGAAGCAAAACATCCCGATGATTTATGTGTGTAAGAGAGAGGACGTGTGTGAGCGCTGATTTTCTCATTACGCTAACTGCTTAATCAAATAGAGCCATCCTCTCTGCAAATAGAAATCAGTTCAGCCGTCTGTCTTCCTGCGCCGATACTCTCACACACACACAAAGAGTCTCTTTCTCCAGCTACTGATTTTTGGACCTTGTCTTGGTCAAATGTAATGAATAGCTGCGAGTGTGTGTGTACATGTGTGTGTCTTACGCGAGAGTGTGTGTTCCGAGCGTGATGAAGGTGCCTCTTGTTTCTCCTTGTCAGCGTCCAATGGCCCTACATAGCCTTTGACCTCATTAAGAAGCACTCACTGAAAACAAAGCAACTATCAGTGCGGGCAGCTGCCGCAGATGATGAAGACGAGGACACACACACACACACACACACACTCATACACACACAATCACTTTCCCAAACTTGCTTATTAAAATCCTTATCGGCTTCTTTTACCAATTTCTAAGCTAAAATAGATCTATTTTGAAGGTCATTTTCTGCTAAACCACTGCACAACTTTACACGGGTTTGTGTGTGTGTGTGTGACGTGAATGCGTGTGTGTGTGTGAGTGGCCCCGTCTGTGCCCGTTGTGCTCGATAAGAGGGGCATTTATCCATGATGACCAAGCAAAGCTAAAGTTCCAGCGACACGGGGAACAAAAACTACCTTTGTACCCTTTTCTCTGTGTGTGTGTGTGTGTGTGTGTGTGTGTGTGTGTGTGTGTGTGTGTGTGTGTGTGTGTGTGTGTGTGTGTGTGTGTGTGTGTGTGTGTGTGTGGTGTGTGTGTGTGTGTGTGTGTGTGTGTGTGTGTGTGTGTGTGTGTGTGTGTGTGTTGTGTGGTGGGTGTGTGTGTGTGTGTGTGTAGTGTGTGTGTGTGGTGTGTGTGTGTGTGTGTGTGTGTGTGTGTGTGTGTGTGATGTGTGTGTGTGTGTGTGTGTGTGTGTGTGTGTGTGTGTGTGTGTGTTCTACTGTAGACAAAAACCACATTCATTACAGTCAGATAATGTACTGGCCCATTATATAGCATTTTTTTTTTTTTGCGTTTCACTGTATGATGAATTGCCACCGTAACAAATGGGAAACTACCACTTAGGAAGCTTCACCAAGTAAAGGCACTTATGGGGAACTAAAATAAATGTCCTTATCTGACATATATCTGTATATAAAATAAATAATGCTTCATCTAGTCCTGGAAAATCAGCCGTTTTAGTTTGATTTATCTGCTCGAATCTCCCAGATATCGAGCCAAACATATTTCTGTTGGTTTGATTTAGTTTCAAATATTTCCTTTTAGTGTTTGTTTTAATCAAATCAACTTTATCTTTTTTCCTCAGTACCCAAGAGGGCATGTGCTCCGTCTCTGGCATGTCTAAAAAGTTAAATATAGTAGTCTAAAAAACACAAACATCAGTCACAGCGGGCCAGTCACATCAACAATAGTGCTGTAATATTCCCTGATTACCAGACAAAATATTACGCTGCAGATAACCCGCACAATGAACACTTATTATACTCCAATATCTTATGCAAACACCTGTAAACGTTCCTTTTGTGGTTCAGACCAGGACTCGAGCCGCCGGGTCGAAAGTCATTAACCCTGCCGGTCGGCTTGTATTGTCTGTTAGCGGTTAGCTGATCCTGATTGACCCCCCATTGTGATCGCGCTGGAGCCAATCTGTGAGTGGATCAACAATACGGGGCTTCCTAAGAATAGCCACAGGGGTCAAAAGGCCGGTTAAAGTCTCTGATTGGACGCCGGGCATATGGATTGCCTTTTTATAAATGTATTTGTTTCCCTTAAGGAAAGTGTCCGTCCGACTTGTTGTGTTACGGCTTCTCCAAGAACATCTGTAGCGTTCGATATGCTGTGTCTTTGATCTGGTTGAAGTTAGCTTTATGTGTTCTTGCATTAGTTCAAATGCTAAAAGAAATGTGATGATATAGATGGCTTAAAAGAAAGGTTCTATGATGGAAAAACAAGAAGAGTGTCATGCCACGAAATAAGGAAGACTTGTATTCGTTGTATTTGTTTGCTGTCCTCGCTCCAAAAGGAAAGAACTAGCTCCCTGTTGATATCAGGACTGCAGAAAGTCACATGCTGAGCCGTAGACTGAAAACCCACCTGTTTCCACTGCACCTTGGAAAGAAACAAAACCCAGTGACGTCCCTAACCCACCTACCCACCCCCCACCCATCCAGATCACCATCGCCATTAGATAGTTGTGCTAATATGCTCTTGAGGTTCACAATGAGCGAAGTCCACATCTCTATTGTTGACTCCTTTGCCCCATGTACCCGGGCTGTCGGTACTTCTAGATACGATATGTCTAGATATGTTAGAACCCAGACCTTACGTGAGAGGGAATGAGGAGGCTTCCACCGAGTCGCAACCAATTTTTTTGCTGCTGTAAGCCCGGCTAATAGAGCTCGCCTTTTGGTCAGGGTTAAACCCAGGTTGGACAGGTCGTTTAGGATAAGTGTAACAGGTGAATGAGGCACGTTGGTATGGTTTGACTTATTTGAAGCTAATGCACTTGCAGGTTTCTTGCTCTTCTGAGTTTGTATTTTCATGGTTAAAAGCCGTTATCGTATCCTCTTGTGGTGACGTTGGTTTACAACCTTTTTAATTGACATGGTCGCGAGTCAAAAACTGACATCCATAGATGGGTTTTACCCAGGGTTCCCCATCTCCCGTTTATTGCGCAATATACCGGTCGAAGATTTCTCAATATGCAGTAGGCCTATACAATATTTCATGGATGCAAGCAAAGACAATCTGTAGTCTATAGCAGCGTTTCTCAACCGGGGTGCCGTCTGGCGTCTTCATATGAATCAATGAATACGCGACCGCTAAAGAGCCGTCTGTTTTCGATTCGAGGAAATGCGTAAAAATAGAAGATACTTGTGAATAAATGTTTTGAATTATGAATTGGCTACTGGACATAGTAAGCTTAAAAAACATTTTAGTGACCATTGCAAGTGACGAATAAATATTATAATTTGAGACCCCCCTCAAATGTTGCTGTTGAGGCTTTCAGGGCGGCTCAGGTGTTAATCGGGGGGGTTGAGCTCCCTCGGACCCCCCCCCGTATTTCACACACTGGTTTTACCCCATTTTGAACCGGAGCATCTGCCGATTAATTCCATACCCAATATTCATTATAATCCACTAAAGTAAGGCACGATACAAGTCTTTTGTTTTTTCTTTGCAACCTTGACTGTAAGGGAGCCTTGAAGGGACAATTGAGTGAAATTCGACCCTTCT